CACTACACTTTTAGAAAAAAATGTATTAGATGGGATTTAAAATAGATGCATTTCTAGCTGCGATGATACGCTCTCAGTGTCATTTAAACAACTTTTTTCTATATATGTAGAATATTTTGATTATAATGATATAATTGCATTGATTTAATTATTACAATATTTTATTTATGTATCACTCAGGTCATTTTTGCTATGCCTTATGACAGCCCAATTCCTGGCTACAAAAATAACGTTGTCAATACATTGAGACTATGGTCTGCAAAATCACCTATAGAATTTAATTTGAAATTCTGTGAGTATTAATAATTAATTATTAATAATTAATAGTTAATTGTTCGATACAATAGTTTTTTGACACTTAAGACGTTTATTTGTGTTTTTTCAGTTAACGATGGTGACTATATACAAGCCGTGATTGATCGTAATCTAGCGGAAAATATATCTAGAGTTCTTTATCCTAATGACAACTTCTTCGAGGGCAAAGAGCTCAGATTGAAGCAAGAATACTTTATGGTGGCTGCTACTCTGCAAGATATTATTCGAAGATATAAATCGAGCAAATTCGGTTCGAGAGAGCATCATAGAACCGACTTCGATAGTTTCCCTGATAAAGTGGCGATTCAACTTAACGATACGCATCCTTCCCTAGCTATTCCTGAGCTAATGAGAATTCTTGTTGATGTCGAGAAGCTTTCTTGGGATAAGGTATTTTTATCTGTCATGTAACGCGGTATTATTTGCATATTCGAAATAAGAAATATTATTATTAAAAAAAGACACACAAGCAAGGATTTAAAATATACACATTAAAAATGTTGTTTTATATATTAAATCTTCTAATATTTAGAGAATATCTTCAAAAAAAAATCTCTTTAAGATAATTTTTTGTCAAGCATGCTTGAAAGAAAATATATTTGCATATGCAAATAATACTTTTAACAGATACATCTATCAGTAAAAAGTGATGGAGTGTACAGTGTTTTATGACATAAGTACATAAAACGTTCGAAACATTTCTTGAAATATCTTTCAGGCTTGGGACATTACAACTCGTACGTGCGCTTATACAAATCACACGGTTCTTCCCGAAGCATTGGAACGATGGCCGACTAGCATGTTGGAGAGTATACTTCCAAGACATTTGCAAATCATTTATCAGATAAATCACTTGCATCTTCAAAATGTCTCAGCCAAATGGCCTGGCGACATGGATCGTATTCGTCAGATGTCTTTAATAGAAGAAGACGGCGAGAAAAGAGTCAACATGGCTCATCTGTCAATCGTTGGTAGTCACGCTATAAATGGAGTCGCGCGTATTCATTCGGAAATTCTCAAGGATAGTGTGTAAGTTTTGCGTTGAGTGTATCTATAAGACTTTATCAAAATTTCCCCCAAAATTCATAGTATGTCTAATTTGTTCTCTCGCTTTAACAGTTTCCGAGCTTTTTATGAATTGTCGCCGGAGAAGTTTCAAAATAAAACAAACGGCATTACACCAAGGAGATGGCTATTACTCTGCAATCCAAATCTATCTGATATCATTGAAGAAGTGAGTATCAATAACATAGTATGTCGTTTTAATAGCATGACTTATACACACATCTTTTATACACAATATGATTTTGTGCGATATATATATTTTATAATTTCTAGAAAATTGGTAGTGAGTGGTCAGTTCATTTAGAACAATTGACGCAATTGAAACAATGGGCAAAAGATCCAGTATTTCAACGTAATATTGTTAAAGTCAAGCAGGAGAACAAACTACGATTATCCCAAATGTTAGAGAAAGACTATGGCATTCGGGTTAATCCAGCATCTATCTTTGATATTCAGGTAAGGAAACGGACAGCAAGCATACAAATTATTTAAAATATCAGATGTTCTTTTTATTATAGATTTTTTGGTCAATTTTAGTATTTTTTTTTTTCATTAAAAATATCAAGGTACTAATCTATTTTCACGTATAATTAAAAATTAGAAATTTTGGCAAAAAATTAAAAAAAAATAATATATACTGTCACATACTTTATTTAATTTCAATTTTAAGAGAATTTAAATGAGATTTATGTTACGCACACAAATACAAAATATTGCGAATATAAAAAATATGATAAAATAATAAACTCGAGACATTTTTGTCAGAAAAAAAGAATTGTTGTATTAATCAAAGAAGTCCCGATAATATTGAGCATAAAATGTATATGCTAAATCTAGATAATATGCATTTATATTATTTGACAATCTAATTTTGAAATAACAAAGAATCTAATTAAACAATATTTTATTAATAGGTGAAACGCATACATGAGTATAAACGGCAACTGTTGAATTGTTTGCACGTCATCACTTTATACAATCGAATAAAAAAAGATCCATCTGCGCCTTTTGTTCCAAGAACCGTTATGATAGGCGGTAAAGCTGCGCCAGGTTATCATCTGGCGAAAAAGATCATTAAGCTTATCTGTAGCGTTGCCAATGTTGTCAATAACGATCCGATAGTTGGCGACAAGCTTAAATTGATTTTCCTTGAGAATTATCGCGTAACCTTGGCCGAAAAAATCATACCTGCTGCGGATTTGAGTGAACAGATTTCAACCGCTGGCACCGAAGCGTCTGGCACTGGTAACATGAAGTTTATGGTCAGTATCTTTTGGCAGTAAAATGAGGCTAACATTGTAGTGAGTGCGTGTACGTTTATAAATTATAACATCCATTATCTCTCGTGAGAGCTAATTTCGATCGTCGAACTCATTCGGCGAATGCAAAACTATGCAAATAATATTTTAATTATTTTCTATTATCTTACGTAACATACACTTTTAATATTTAACTGCGATCACGTAATTATTTTTCACTACTAAATTTAGATTGTTTAAATAATAGAACTTTATATTATTATTGATAGTTGAACGGTGCATTAACCATCGGCACTTTGGACGGGGCAAACGTAGAAATGGCAGAAGAAATGGGCAACGAAAATATCTTTATTTTCGGTATGACGGTAGATGAAGTGGAAGCTCTACAACGGAAAGGATATAATGCTTACGATTATTACAACAAGCTGCCAGAAGCAAAGCAGTGTATCGATCAAATTCAAGGAGGATTCTTTAGTCCGAATAATCCTGACGAGTTTCGAGATATCGCTGATGTATTACTCAAATGGGATAGATTCTTATCCTTAGCCGATTTTGAGAGCTACATAAAAATGCAAGATCACGTCAGCGAAGTCTATCAGGTATTTATCAATTAAAAAAAAGCTTTATTGCACTTGATTTTTTGTGTTAAAAAAAAGGCAAATCTCACTTGCTCATCACGAAATCGCTTATTGATTGTTCCAGGACGAAAGCAAATGGGTGGAAATGGCTATCCATAACATTGCGTCGTCTGGCAAATTTTCGTCGGATCGTACAATCGCGGAATACGCGCGCGAAATTTGGGGCGTCGAACCAAACTGGCAGAAACTTCCGGATCCGCATGAGCCCCGTGATATTTAAACGCGCTGCCATGACCTAAAATAAATTAGTTCTTCTTTTTCATAAGATGTTCCGATACTCGTCTGTTTCCTTTCGCGATATTAATATTGTCTTCCTATATTATAAACGACAACGAACTTTAAACTGGCGATAACTGGCACCGTCCAGAACTCCGTCACGATCGCACAAAGCAATAAGGATTATCGCGTGCGAGGATACATATATATACATATATATATAGTAATTATTTTACAATGTCCTATAAATATTTATTTGTGGGATCTTTAATGTTCGCGGTTGCCTAAATTATTTTACACATACTTAGTGAGGTATCACTAATGTTCTTTTACATTTAATTTTGATGACAGATGACAAAACTAATTAAATATAGTGCCATCACTATAGCGAAACGTTACTTTGCCCTAAATAATTAACAAATTATTCTTTTTTGATTTATAAACTCAAAAAAAAAGTTTAGCATAATATATATATATCATACACAATTTGAGATTTTAAAACTTACTACAATATATTTTAGATATATTGTTATAACTTACGTTGTAGGTACATTATAAGTTAACAGATCTGTGTTTAATTTAAATTACTATAAACTGAGGGTTAAAAAATTTGAGTTAAGAGTAGAATGAATGAGTATATCGTAATGTGGCATGCTGTTTGAATAAAGCAGCATCAAATATTGAGAAGAGAAACTAAAAAAACATAGAAAACATTAAGCCGTTTCAAAGACATTTAAAAGATGTAAGACATCTTTAAGAGAATTTTGAAACGTGTTTCAAATACATTCGTTGTTTGGAAAGAAGAGAAAAGGAAGAAATAGCGATAGAGAGCTATAATTATCTCTCTGTTTATTGTTATCTCTTGCTCAGCGACTAACGAACGATCAAGCGGTCTGCATTACGATTCTCATTCCTAGATGTTTCCTATGCGTGATTAAAAATTTATTTAATTGACAAAATTTTAACATTATCATAGTTTTCATTATAAACACATAAAACTCTTAGTAGTGAAAAAAAATACTAAACTTTTAGCAACGTGTCTTCCGCGCGAGTATCTATTTCGCATTATCTAGTCTTAAATAATGTGTTCGGTATATTTCTGGCTGCGCGTTATTTATTTTAAAACAATCAATAAAAATACTTTTTTAAACGTAAACAAATTTTTTTAATCTCCACGAATAAAAAAATTTGACGATGATGTAACAGAAAGAAATTATATATGAATTATATCATCTTATCTTATCTTATCATTAACGCCAATGCCAGATATACTCATTTTTATTAATGAATTATTTGCGCACCATTTACATCGTGGCACAGTGCTCGTCTGTTAGGTGCTACAAAGCACTTATATAATGTTTAAGTGATATACTGTATAAATGAAAAAGAACATTGTAATTTGTTGAAATAAAATTTATGGCAAATATTCTCGAAGATATTTTTAAGAAACAAATTATTAAAAAAAAAAAAGATAATTTTCTTAACTCTTGATAAATTCATAAAGCTTGTACAAATCATTTTCATGATTAAATTCAGTTGATTCTGAAGAATTAATATTAATTTGATATTAATACAAACTCGTGTGGATACTTAATTAACATACAAATTCAGAAATATGTGAAGAATCATTTATCCTCGAGAAACGTAAAACTAATTTCTTATTTCTTGACCTAACAATAGATCTAATTGACACTAATTAATTTGCAATGTCTTGTTTAGGATATGAAAGCCGGTTCATATACTCGAAAAAAAAAATTAAAAAAAATTCATTGTCAGATGCAAGGAAATGATTAATTGAAGGCTCTGTACGTTCGCTACGAGTCATTTTTTTCTCACGTAAACTCGCGCAATCGCATTTGTATTTGCTCGTACTCGTACATATATACTTGTTGACGAAGCGGAGGTGGAAGCGGACGAGAATAGACGGAACAAACACAGACGGTCGCGCGAGTGAAGGCGCCTGAGAGAGCGAGAGTCGATCATTCGCACGAGCGTGCGATGCATCGACACGTCCTACGTTCGAGAGGGGTGTAACTCGTGGCTCGTTGTTTCGTCGAGTGAATTTTTTCGTGTGCTCCGGACAGCATGTCATCTTTGTCCGACAACATCCGCGTCCTGGCCAGGCAAGAGGCGTTCAAGGACTTCTCCTATTTCGACGAGGAAACCGTGCCCGTGGTAAGTACGTGCAAACGATACCAAAATTGACCTAGGTCATCTGTTTCCGCCGAGGCCATAGCATGAACCTGCGTGTTTGTCTCCTTAGCACGTGTTGAAACTAAACACTCAAATGTTTATCGGTATAGCGTTACCGTTCATCGATGAAGCTTGGTATGTGTACCTGTTCTTCAGGTATGCATATCATGAGATTGTTACAGGTAGAATGTAATTGTACACTGTTTGTGTACCTCTTGCAGGCCAGTTTCATCAACGATAGATAATTTTTCGAGAAACATGTATCTACTCAAACAATAAACACATTCCTTTAATTTATTATGTATACTTTTATATTATATAAAAAAACTTTATATTGTATAAAATTTATATGATAATTAAAAAATGCATAAGATTCCGGAAATATATTGAAAAATATGTGAATTATAAAAAAGTGCAGTGAGAAACTAGATATCAAATGCCTATATATGACCTTTTCATTCTGCGTAGTAGATTTTTCAACGAATGAGGCTAAAAATACTACTGTAATAATGGATATTATTTGTGAATTACGTGTATGACGAGAGATGTTAGTAAAAAGAAAAAAAATACCACTGCACATTCGGTTACTGCATATTTTCGGTTCAATTATTCAATAGAACGAAATCTGTTTATAAAACAAAGCTTGAGTTTTGCTAGAAACTTATTTGTAGAGGAGATAAAAAAAACTTTTTTTATTTACTGCTAAAAAAATTTACCTATTATACAATGAACTGACACATCTTGAGTTACTAATGTTTCGACAATGGAATAAAAATCTTTCACAGTGGAATAATTTACAGATTCAGCAAATAAAATTCTTAGACCTTTCACTCTTTAGATAGCAATTATTTAAGTTATATTAAATTGATTACTGACTACACAACACTATCAACACTATCTAAGTAAATTTTCTTTTCCATAGATAGATAGAAAACACAATTGTGCAATTGATAGATAGAAAACACACTGACAGACTTGCTTAAGCATATGATCCAAAATCTTATAGTAGTTTGCAAATTATTGATTGGAATTAATAATCGTGTAAACGATACTTCACTACTTTTTTATATATATTTCTCACGAACTCTTGTACTATATATTATGAAACAAGAATTTTTTCTTGAAAAAGAAAGATTATGAAATAGAAACCTTAATTAATTATTGAAATACAAAACCTCGTCTCTCCATTAATTCTAAAGACCATAAAAAGTTTTATGGAATATTATTTTTCAGTTTTATTAAAGAAAATAACACTCGCTTTATAAATAATAATGCAGTAGCTCTGGTTAGATAATGTAGAATGTAGAGAGACACGTCATTTCAATGATATGTATGAATCATTTTTCTTTAAGATAATTATGCTATTTGAACAGTCTCGATCTTCTATTATAAATCTTATTAAGCCAATTAGTATTTTTTCACAAATTTCATTATCTTCTTAAAATAACATTTTATTTTCCTTATATTGTAAAAATTATTTGTTTTAAAATTTTATTTTTTCTTTTAGACTGTCTACATGTATGTAAACATGTATATTTTTTGCAACTTTATAAATTTTAATTTTAAATTAATCTGTTGAAATGAAATAATTAGTAAAACACTAAAAACACAGAACATTTTTCTACCTAATTAGATAAAATATATTCGTATTCTCTTACATTGTATAAATATTATAAAAATGGAAATTCTCGATGCTCATTAATGATCTGTAGTAAAAGTGTAATATTTTATATATTTAAACGACTAATGTCAACTATGTGATAAACATTTACACGTCATTGAATAATTATAACGAGTGATAGAATCAAGACAATTAATATTATTATCTTCAATTAGTTGCTCGAAAGCTTATGCTCTTGTAGATAAGCATGATATACACATAATTGCTCTACTTAGTCGTTGCGAACAGGTGGTGTCAAAGATTCCGGATATTATCGCGCAAAAAATTTACGTCGATGATTCGTATACAAACATTGACTAGTATTTATGTAAGAAAATTTACAAAACATTGTTACAGATTAGATTAGACTTAAGATTTTTCACGTGTGTCATATTGTGTTCGTTTCAGAATGTTAGCAAACCGATTCCATTGCAACCTTTAAAACCGACATCTGCCATAATTCTCACCGGATACATTCCTGAAAACGCATCGAGGTACTCGTTTCGAATTATTTTTTTTTATCTGTGATAATTATCTTATATTGGAGATTTATAAGAGAACTTTCTCTATTTCTCTCTCTCTCTCTCTCTCTCTCTCTCTCTCTCTCTCTCTTTTACTTATATCGCATTATATGTATAATGTAAAAAATGTAACAATAATATAAAATTTAATTATGAAGCTATATTAAATCATTTCTTTCTTGAATATATAATATTATCAATAGCAATACAAATATTTTAAACTAAAGTCATATATTATTTTGATTTTAGAGAATATGCTCTAAAGTTACTAGTTCTTTACGGCTATTATGAATAATTTGAAATTTATAAAAGATGTTTATAGAAAATAATCAATTGTATTAATGTTTTTAAGAAATCGATTAAAAAATTGTTTTAATATATTATTTTTTTTTGTGTATGTCGTGCTTTCTTTCATGACTTTTACACGAGTTTATCATGTCATTTAACTATACGACAGGTTTTCGGTGAATTTAATATGCAAGACATCTGGAAATATCGCTTTGCATTTTAATCCACGACTGGACAGAGGGTATATCGTCAGGAACACGAAACTGCGTGGATCCTGGGATGATGAAGAAACTTGTTCTCCCGCTGGTTCAAGCGGATGCATTTTCCGCCGGAATACCTATATGCACCTTATGCTTTTCTGTGCGAATGATGCGTTTCAGGTGATACATGTGAAATATTTTGAAATTTGTGGGTATTAATTCTCTTAATTCTTGCGAATTATCTAGTATCTTTTCAAGTTTTCTTTTTTGCAAAATTATATTGCAATGATAAATGAATTTTTAGACTTTAATCGTCATTTCTGCGTTGCAGATCGCGGTGAATGGAGAACACTTCTGTGCTTTTAGCTATAGATTGCCTCTCGCAGATATAACGGCTCTTGAAGTTAATGGCACTATCGAGGATATCAGAATTCGTCAAGTTAATTTATTTGTATATCCAGATCCTAATATTTGCCGACCATCCCGAACATTGATTCTAACTACCAAAGAACCACTGGTGGATTTTCTAGTAAGATTTACCATTTTCTATATCCAAAAAAGACTGAAAGATTAATGTTGTTATAATGTAAATTACATAAAATGTAATCAAATGAACGAGAAAAACAAGCAATTTGCAAAATTGCTGCAATAGATAAAAGATTCTATTTCGTGTGTGGGTGCTTTCATGTTTTAAATAATTTTAATCAATTTTTAAGGTGTTTGAATTATTTTAGTAAGACTTAGATATATCCGTCATAAATAGATGTTTATACGTACTTTATGTCACTTTATCATATCGATTAATTATTTATTGGAAAAAAATTTTCTTAAAATTAAATTTCTATTTTCCCACCCAAGATAATATTCTTTGGTTAATTCTAACACTCCGTGTTCATTCATTGTAATACACAAAACTCTTTTTTACAGGACATTCCCATCACTGTGGGTATTGGCAGCGAATTTCGCGTCGGCGCTAGTTTATTCATCGCTGGAAGATTGAAGCTACTTCCGTACTCGTGAGCGTTTGAGATTGTAATCTACCGCGTTTACAGTATATTTTTCTACGTTTGCCCTTGCAAACGAGATGTATCACGATCTGTTGCAGATTTTACGTGAATCTGCAGAGGGGCCAAACCATTTATCCTCATCCCCTTATACCGCTGCATTTAAACCCACGTTTTTTATACGGCACTAGCTCGCCGTACGTCGTCATGAATTGTTGGAACAATGGCACGTGGGGTCACGAAGAGCGACATCAAGGCCATTTATCCTGGATGCCCGGCCGAGATTTCTTGCTCACGTAAGATATCCGCGAGTTTCTCAAAGAATTTATCGTGTAAAAATTTTGTTTACCGTTGTTGATTTCCACTGTTGTAACAGATTCGTGTTTGCTTTAATAGCATCCGCTGCGAGTATGAAGGATACACAATATGGCTGGGTAATAAGATGATCGGCGAATTTAAGCACAGATTGCAATCATCAATTGCGGACACTTTGCGAATATCTGGCGATGTCGTACTTTATCAACTCAGTATGAATTACGCTTGAATTGGATCTGATCGGACTACAAACATGTATACGTAATACTGCAGTAATTGAAGATGAAAAATGATAATGATTGTATGTTTAGAACACAGAGGTTCCCGAGATTTCACGTTTGAACCTTTTCGGCGATCGCGATATATGCGATGCCAATTTGTATTTTCGACATAATGCTAAGGTGTTTTCGCAATATTCTTCTTGGTATTGTATTTATATATATTTACATTTGTATATATTATACTATGAGAGAGCTATTTATTTACGAGAATAAAATCAATATCAAACAAAAAAATTCATATTTATTTATATATTCCATTTATTCATATGTTCCTTTTATATATTAGATTATCGACATGTATTAAAGCGACTTGTAAGAAAACTTTCATAATTCTAACTAACTTATACACACTATTGCCATTATTGCTAGAATCAAGCAGAACAATGCAAATGCAATACGATCAATGGCGGTGCCCGCGAGAATCCATTCCAATTGCGTGGTATTTTTTGTAGGCGAAATGATATTCTGTCGATCTCCATCGTCCGAAATATTCGACGTCGAATTGGTAGTGGATTCCTCTGTAAGTTTACCACGCAATTCTTGTCCTGGCATAGGCCGTCGCGATTCGATCTAAAAAAATTATTATTAAAGATAAATTAACGATGCATGTTCAAATTTACCAATAATTATGTTACTACTTCCAAAATTTCCAGTATTTTAATACTGATGAAAAATTGCAAACATTAAAATAAATATGAGTACATAAGTAACAATTTTAAAAATATTTCTTTTGCAGAAATATTTTATTAAAAATTATTTATTCAAAAATATATCAAAAACAGTTTGTCAAAAATATGTTTCGTATAATATAAATAATACATTTAAAATTTGACAATTAAAACAAAGAGTATCCCAAAATAAATGAATACTTACTATAATAAATATATATGCAATAACTCTTAAACGTTAATTACTTACTACATTTATAAGGTCGGAAAGACCTAATAGTTTTCCCGGCCAACTTAATAAACACAGTCTAATATTCCGTGGAAGTGGTTTACAGTATGTCCTCTTAGACATGTTAATTACCAGTATTGATAAAATTAATGAAATTGTTACTAAACAGAGGCAACCACTAAAGAAGCAAACTGTGAAAGCAAATCTTAGTTAATGACGATATTCATTTTCACGGTGTACAGTAGAAATTTACTCATTTTGAAAGGACAGAATTAAATATGCATACATAATATGTCTAATACTCTATGTATTTGAATTTCTTGATTAGAAATTATATTAATTTAAACGATATTAATATTAATTTTATGTAACATATTCATATTTTTGAAGATTTTTTTAAACTGAAGTATTATAAATTTTGCAAAAACAATATTTTAATTATTATAAAAATTGTCAGTTTAAAATTTATAGAACTTGGACACAAATCAAGCAGACTCAAATAAAGTGAAACATGTTTGTCCTTTAAAATCAAGTAAATTTTTTACTGCAACGTAGTTAATTTATTTTCTTTAATTCATAATTGAAAATAATTGAAGAGATTCTAGAAGATTAGTCTTTTGCATCAGTCTACCTATGAGCGGAGGATTTGCAGTTAATGGTACTTTAAGGCCGAAGTAGGCTAAAAACACTGCAATAATTAATACAGTACAGGCCGCAACACTGATCTTTATTTCACTTTGAGGCGGCAGCCAAAACGTGACCAGAATCAGGAAAACGATAGCTGAAAGTTTATATCGTAAATATCATAGACTGGATTAAATTCAGAATTAGATTGTGTATGATAAGTTTATGTTTTGAATTAATTTTACAGTCGATTAACTCGGAAACAAACTCAATGGTATTGCCATGATGTAGATTACTATGTTTTTTAAATCATCATTTCAGTATATAGCATTTAGTAAAATAAACAGCATATATTTACAATAAAATTATATATTGGATATTTCAATAAATATATGTATGAATAAAATGGGCAAAATGGGTAATCAATATAAACATTTTAAAATATACATAAAATATGGCTGCTTAATGTTATTTAAATGATAATTGAAAGAATACGTACCAGCAGCAGGCATCAGCAATACGCTACAATAAAGTGCCGAGTTCCTCTTTAAGGTCATTTCAAAATTCAGATTAATGTATGGATCTGGACAACAAGCGTATACAACTGCTTCGCGACTTTTGCTCAAACCTACTAACTTCCACGCCGCATTTTTAACGTACATACGTTCCTATAAAACGTTGTTATAACACTAAAACATCTTAATATTATTTATTATAATATATCCAATTCAAAATAACTCCAAATTATTGTATTTGTTATATAATGTTAAATAACTCTATTTTTTTTTACAAAAAGAAACTTCATGTATTTAAACTTGAAATTCAAAAATATTTTAAAAAATTTTTATATGCATGTCTTCTTTTTCAAAAAAATAAAAATAATTTGAAGAAAATATTTGAAAGTATATATTACAATAATCGGATAAAATATACGAATGTATAATAATCAATAAAACATCTTAAACGTTGCTTTTGATGAATGGAACAAGTAAAAAAGAGAAAATCAACAAGAGCACGAAATTTTGAAAGTAAAAAAAATAATTTTTTGCGACATTTAAAAAAATATTTTTACCAAATATATGTAGTGCAAAAAGATTCATCTAATAAAACCGTGATACATAAGTTAAGTTTTTCCATTCTACACATATACATACGATTAACATAATTAAATGTTTTCATACCATATGAGACTTGCCCAATTGCATATCAATTTGCTCGCCGTGATACGTCCAAGAACCGAACGTCATATTACAAATCTGTGTATCGAAGGGCCATAGACGAAGATCTAGCTCGCAAAGCCCGACAAATTGCGCGGGCGGCACCCACAAAACTCGACCATCATGGTATATGATACAGGCCGTATCACCATAATGCTCAACCGTACCCGCAGTTCCGCTAGACGAAAAATATAAACTGAATAATTAATATAATTTACTTTGACATTTTTAAATCGACGATCGAGGTACAGTGTCGCGTATACCTGTGATATAGCAGAACATCCGGTTGCCATACTTCGTGGTTCCCTACATGAATATGTTGGAGATTACCGTATTTGGCAGGATCCCATTTGAGTTTTTCATCTGTCCACACCTACAAATGGAAAACGACAATCGACCGATGAGAATGAAATTTTAATGACAATTTTCAGCGTTATTATTAATTATTACAATAATTAATCACTAATATAGATTTTCGTTAATATTGATGCAGGAAAATATTCAAAATATCTCTATTAATATGTTAAATGTAAAATAATTATTATACTAAATATAAAAAATTATACATATATATATATACATCCTCAAAAAATCTTATGTTTAAATTTAAATTTTAATAAAAACTGCGTTAAGCACGTTAGTGCTTATATAAAGATTACAATATAATTCTTATTAAGCATACTTACGTGAGAAGCCCATCCGTTAACAGTGACAGTAGACTTGAAGTCATCCTAAAAATTAAGAAAGTCAATTTTACAATCAAATAGGGTAAAGTTATATTCCCGTACGCGTTCTATGTTCTAATTTCGCGCATACTTGCCACATCAGCATAAAGAATAGTAATATCGAAGTTGACCACCGTCGTGTTGAAATGTTGCGTCGGTCGAGCAAACTTATCATATTTTACAAACAAATCTTGTTTCAATCGATCGGTCCAAGTATGATTCCAAATAGGAGTCCCTGTAAATCACCGAGGGACAATGTCGGAAGCTGTAATCTTCTTCATTACGTGAGATACAACAATTTACGCCTTGCTCACGTTTATCATTCACGAGTTGATCTCATAAACAGTATTCTGTTTCGCGATAATAAGTTTGAAGGAGTTGTGTTTTGTTTGTTTACACTTTCCACATTTTATCTTTCTTTTTTTCTTTTAAAGATCACCGATTTTAATTATTAATAATTAATTTAAAACTGATTCCTCGTTTACGAAAATGTCGAGACAAATCATCATTTATTGCAATTATTTCTTTTGTATATATATTTATATACAAATAATAATTTATTATTATATTATTTGTATATATATATTTGAATTAAAATTTTTATAAAACTAAATTCTACTTAAAACTAATTAAAAAAATAACATGTATTGTACTTACATATTTATTCTGATGTTTTGCTTAATTTACAAAACAAGCTCTTCATATGTAAAACTTATAACTTAGAAACTATTCAATATATTCTTGCTAACATAAGCAAAAATCAATTGTAAATTTGTCAAAAAATTAATTATCAAAAGTAAGATTGCACTTTTGTAAGACGTAAAAGACTTCATATTTAACTTTATGTATATAAGAAGTACAAAGAACTACAAAGTTATAATAAATAAATCTAATGTTATTAATTAATATATGTTGCTAATGCTATATATATATATACATATATATACAACATTGTTGGCTGCAAATGGTATTTGGAAATATTGAGGCTCATTCATTCGTCTGATTCGCTTTGAATAACAGTACAAGTGGATAAATGACGACAATCAGTAACCACGGATGGTAAATAAGGAAGTGTGTACGTTCGTCGACAGGGAATTTTTCGAATATTCGATGTATGAAGTATATTTTGTCGAGAAGTACGTGTTTTCAATAATTTTAGATTTTAACGCTACACGGACACGTTAATGTGCAAAACTGAGAAATAATAATCAACGAAATTAGTATCGTCGACATAGAAACGTCGCATATGAAATAATTATAAAAATTCTAATTGGGGAATGCTGCAACTTCCAATTAGCTGAAGTATATACATGGAACAGATACAGAGATCTGTTGTTATAGCTATTTTCCAAAAATTAAAAAAATTAACAAACATTGTTAATATGGAAGCAAATTATCTTTACGCAGTTATATTATATTATGTTATTATATTATTCTATAATAGAACGAATAACTGTGGCGTAATAACATTTCTTGTCTAATTTGTTTATTTTTATATAGATGTTACGTTTGTGATCATTAAATTATTATATTATTAGCAATACTTTCAAATACTGACAAGATACCAATGAACTGTGTCAAAACTTATGTAAGATTAAAGACAAAATAAATCGTCACAAAGTCATGTCGCTTTTGATTCTGTAATAATCCTATACGAGTATATATTTTGAACTAAAAAATCAGTGAACGAATATCAATAATGACTTACTTTTTAATAGCAATATATTAAATAAATAATTGATTAGTTATATAAAATTAATGAGATGGAAGCATGAATTTGTCGATTCTATATTTCTATTTTTGTCGTCTCAAGTTTTTGCAAAAATGTCGCACCATGCGTAGTGTATCGGAAGGATCTCAAACATTGCAATTTTTGGGATGCTTCGCGCTATGACTCGCTGGTCATTCACACTTACTTTCCGGCGTGCCGCTCGCATACAACACTACATTGTTGAATAAGGTAAGCGTGATCGCCGTGTAGATAATGCAAGAAAGCCGCATCGCGAGCTGAAGTGCGAACCGTCGTCGAATTGACACTGACTATGGTGAGAAGCGCGATACGTCGGTATTGCCACAGACAAGAGTGGCAAGAAGGGGCTACCATAGATTTAAGTAGTTAACAACCTGTTGAATAGACATTTCGTCGCCTACCGCTGATCAATGAAACGCAATGACTTTGACCTCTTTTACTCCGCCGGAGATACTCCTATATTATTTAGACTGAACCCTTTCAATTGTCCATGTAATTGCAGCAACAATGTCGTAACTATAGGCCCTTGTTTAGTACAATTAATTATTATCGGCTAGAGTTTTTCGAACAATGTACATTATATTATTTCATTATTTTGCAAACTGGAAGAGATATTTCGCAATCACTAGATGGCTTCTGTAGCCAACCTCGAATGATTTTTCGATATAAAAGAATGTCGAGGAAATTCATAATTTTCCATATGATTTCAACTTTTAACAATATGTACCTGTTAATAATTAAAATTAAATGCAGTTTAATCTACTCTGTATTGTTTAAAATTTATTATCTACTTTCTCCGTACCTAAGTATTCGCAAATAAAAAGTTTTAATTTATAATCATAATCTACAATTGTACACTATTAATGTTTCGATATTTTTGTTTAGAGAAAATTGGTTCTGGATCAGTTAAATAATTTGTAATAAAATCGTAGTTCAGTAATTAGCTGTTAAAAAATATTCTGATACGCAATATAAATTTGCTATAAAAATCTACCATGTTTTTAATTGCGTGATATGAACTTCGATAAATTTTATTTATATTAAAAGCGTTTGCTATACATAATGGTTTAAAACGATAATTTGAAAAATAAAAATATATAAGATAGCGGAGGTGTAAGCAAGATTGCGAATTTAGTAATTATTTATGATCCTTAATGCTACTGCGAAAGATTTAATTATCGCTTCGTTAATTTTCTTGGAAAACTATCTCTTGTAAAAGAAGTTACTGCAAAATAATAATTCTGATATTCTGTTGAATATTTGTATTGTATAATTAAGGCACTGTTAATTACAATGCGCGGAAAAACTAATTTAACTTTAGTAAGAAATTCAAAGTTTAATGCGTTGCATTACTGTATACAAGTATACATACATATACATCGTATTGAACAATATATTTGCCGCTATTCTATTATTTGTCGCAATAAATACTCACTATATAATTCTCACTCAGACTGTGTATTTTAATCGTGTATGTAAATAAACTGTTTAAATTGTGTAAAGCGCGAAATGAACATGAGATGGAAAGTTTAAATTTGGAGATTTTTTCCACTACAAATCTATATTAATCTTTTTCCAGAAATCTATGTTGAGAGAGTGTTAGATAAATTGTAATGTAGTAATGTAAGATTATAGCAAATATTATAGCAAAACAATGCAAAAGACAAACTATTCAGATATTAGTTATTATCTTTCAGATGTTTCATATATTGTTTGCTGATGTTTTCTCAAGGAAATCTTGGGTTTTAATTTTATTTAAATAATAATCTCTTTTCGCAAACTAAGCTTTAAAGAGATATGCGATAATATATTAAATTCCTTTTTATCTGATAACTTTTATTTAATAATTTATATAAAATGATTTATGATATTTCTGGAAAAAATTATTTTCTAAGAAAAGTAATTTGACGGTGAAATAAAACGAGAAATTTTACGAGCATACTGTCCAAAACGTATATTTATTGAAAGATACTGTAAAAGAAACGACGTACTAGGGAGCTGTATATCTCTTTACTGTTAAGTTCTTGCAATAACGAGCATGAATTACGTACATTTATGCAACAGTTTGCTCGATGTCGGTAATAGGGACATGATCTTTGCACTAATATTAAACTTGAATACGAGTTCATGCAATGAAGCATAACACGCCTCTTCTCCACTCTAGAAATTATTTCTTTTCTATAAAAGATAACTTTAACGCTTATATCTGTACATCAGAGCTAAAGTATATTAAATCCATTTTTGTCAGATACACTTTTATTGGACCGATGCAGTAAAGTTTAGCATCGGTCGAATAAAAGTGTATCTGACAAAAATGGACTTAATATACTTTAGCTCTGACGTATAGACATGCCTTTTTTATTTGTCGCATATAGGTACACATTGATTTTTTACGGAAGATGTTACTTTAATTTGTAAAAAACTTTTTATTTTTTATAGCTTATACTTTAAAAATCAATTCTTTGTTAAATTTTTGTTTAAATTGCTTACTTTTTCTTGGAATTATAAAAAGAATAAATGATATATTTAAAAATTTTGAAAATTTATTTTGCTATATCTTATAATATCTTTGTTTTTATATACAAGAAATTTAATGTATTTAAGTTTCTCATTCATTCTTATTTTATGTTCTCATAACATTTTATAAATTTTGCTTTTTGATTCATACTTTGCATTTAAAACAATAAAAAATGCAAGATACAGTAAATTATGAAAATACAAAGAAGAAAATGCAAAGCTAAATTTACGTTGCAAAATTTTATTGTAAAGTATAGCTGTTTTGTATGTGCGTAAGCATTAAAAAGTTAAAAGCTCCAACTTCTGTTTTTTGCCCTGACTTGGCATCCCTGCGGTCAGCACAAATAGATGCAAGCTCGCGTGTAATGCGTTTTACGTGCTTTTGGAACTATTCGTAGTCTTCTCTAATATACAGATCGTTACTCAAAAGTTAAAGTAAGACGTAAATCAAGCGCTTGCGCGTGATTAATCGCGCGCCCGAAGTTTTTCTGTCACAAGCAGTTTTACGCTGAGAAGATATGAAAATATTTTTTGTCTTTTCCCTTCTCCTATAATATTATCGCGTAAGAACAAGATAAAAGCATAAAAAATAATCAAGCTTTTGAATTTAAGCAGAGAGATTCTACCTGTTGCATTTTGGCAAGCTTAAAATAGATCTAAATGGAAATGCAAGTAAAATGAAGACCCATTGCATTTTGACATTCTTACTATTTTTATGCAAAAATGCGACACGCACAGAAGGGAGATGTAGAAATATACATGTATATATAAATAATAGAGGGAGGGAGGGGGTAGAGGAAGAGAGGAAAGATGAGATCGGCGTTGACATTGTCGCCGATAACGAAGACGATAACAACAACGACAGGATTCTCGCATCCGCCCCTATGATTATTATTTGTCGAGAGCCATAAATAATAAAGAAGATTACGTAGGTCGGTAGCCGGCGGTGGAGGTGTAATTGAATCAAAATAATGTAGAGGTATCGTGTTGTATGCTCTGGCCAATCATAACTCAGGTGAGACCATCTCCTCCCGCGCGACGCGGCGAGAAAACTAGCGACAGGACAGGGTGCAGAGTAGGGGATGATATGCGCGCCGAGAGGGTGTCCCTATATAAAGGGTGTCATCTCCCAACCCCGGATACTCATTCCACCACCAACCACCACTAACACGCCGCAAAGCACACCGTACAGCCGTATATACGCACTTTCTCTTTTCGTTTTTCTTTCGAAACTTATATACATTTCTCCGATCGCATCCCTACGCATCGAGAAGCCGAAAAGCCGACAGTATGGTGAGTGTTTTACCGTTATCGTTATCGTGAGTGAGTGCTTTACGGGTTTTACAGTGATACGGGATTATTCGGTGATTTAGGCTTTAATGACTGTGATCTCGTATCTGGACTATTTTGCCTTTGGTTTTCTGTCTGACAATGAATGATGATAAGAAGTTTTGAGCAATCCTAAATTTTTGTTTATTTAGGGTCGGTTGTTCCAAGTCTGGGTAAGTTTTACTCGGCAAGTAGTAGGTATATCTTTGTCTCCTTTTTTAGAACTTATCTGAAAAAAAAGACGAAAATATGCTGTCAGGTGAAACTTACTGAGAAGTTGGAAAAATCGGCCCTTAAGTAGTTGGTGATGCTGACTGAGAGATAAAGAGTAACGCTTGTATTAATTATTGTGTATTTTGGATCGTATAAATATATATTTTTTATATATTTTGTTTAATATTTTAATAGTTCATTATCTTTTATGTTTTTTATATATAGGTCGTGCACGTGTTTTTGGAAATCGATAATTTATAACTTTCGGAAAATTAAACTTTTATATTGCATATAATATATATAAAAAATATATAAAATATATATATATATATATATATATATAAAATAGAGAAAAAAAGAAAAAAAGGAAATATTTTAAAATTCTATTGCTACACCTAAATAATAATTAATTATCATAGATGTCCAGAAAAAGAGCCTCACACTCATTCTTCGAATTAATAGATTAATTAAAAAGTTTGTCACTTTTCTATTAATATTTGCTTTAAATAAGGAGTCATTTAAAAGTTATTTCAAAGAAAAAAGATCTTTTTATGTAAATTTTTTTAGATAGAAAAAATATCGAAATTATTAATACTAATTGCGTGTGTGTATAATATATATGTGAATTTTGAATAATAAAAGCTGCTTCAAATAAAATTATGCAATTATACAATATTATTTTCAATTTCATTTAACGAACATTTCTCGCATCATAAAATTTAAATATTTTACATTTTTTGGAAAAGTTTATAAATATTACAATAACAATGTAGGTAATTTTGACGCAATTAATTTAATGGTAGATCTCTAGCGAACAAGTCTTGCGATTAGTCTGCTGTTGCTTTTTTATGTGATTTTCTACTTTCACGATATTAAGAATATACTTTGCTGTTACTTTAATTAAATTCGGATTTCATTTAACCATGTTCAACAGACCCATATTTTTTCAATGTTGAAGCGACAATGTAGAACGAAGTTCCTACGTTCTATTACAGTTTCTGTAAAATGTGAGTGACATTATTTCGCGCGTGTTCAATTTTTTTACGTTTTTTATCATGACTTTTTCTCATTTCACTTTCCACATAATTCTGAATTTAGCAATATTAACTCACTTGCTGAAAAAAATTGGGAACAACATTAACCATTATATTTCGTTAAGAAAATGGCAAGATAAAAGAATATTTCTATTCCATTTCTGAAGGATAATATTGAAAAAGACGTGGATGAGGGTTCATAAACATTTTTTCACGATATTACTTATTTCAATTTTCTTTTGAAATATGCAATCCATATATTTTCCAATTTCGAAAAATAAAGAATAACATAATATTTGAAGCATATATATATAAAAATTGCATCTTTTCGGATATTAATCGATTTCAAATATAATACATATATTCCTTCATTCGATCAAATCAACATATTTAATGATAATCGATTCTTTTCTGATATTCACATAATGTAGAATATCATTTACTGCTATTTTTCACAATTTTGAACATTAAATATTGTTATAGCTCAATCTTAAATTATATATTTTTTAAAGTTAAAGTTTATTTTACTTGTAACATACTAAATTTTTTATGTTTCATATTTAAATTTCTTCATATTGTATTAATATAATAACATAGAAAAAAATTGAAACTTAAAATGTCGCACATGTTATATAAATATTAGCTTTAGATACCGATTCTTTTCTAAAAAAAAATTAAAAAAAGCAATTTTTTTCTCTTCTATAAAAAATAAAGACACCAAAATGCAATATAGTCTACTTTAAAATGTTGCAATTTTTCTTTTCTTTTTTGAGGACAATAAATAAGATTAATACGGTCTTTTATTCTTTATTACGACAATTAATCATGTTTGTGATCATCCTTTATACCATAATCGTATCACTGTCCAACTTTATTGAAAGAATATGACTTCATTTTGTTAAGCTTCATCAGATTTCTTTTATTTTTAATTATAAATTATAAAAAATTTATTGATATAAAAACCTTTTAAATAGAAAAAAGCTATTGGGAGAGAGACAGAGAGAAAGATTCCAAGAATAACTAAAAAATCCATTATTAATTTGTTTACGCGATAATATAGCGCGTATCAAATATCTATAATTCAATAAAATACGATCAGCACCTCATTGTCAGCATCAAGTTATGCAGGAAATTGAGTACATTAATATTGACGCACAATGCAATTTGAGAAAAAAATAAAAATAAATATTAGTTAATTAATTAAAGTATCAGCCCACGTAATTCATACTTATTTCTTCTCAAAGAGATTATTTCTGCGACAAATATTTTTAGTAATGCACGTAGCAAATTCTGTGGGCGATATGATTATGAATGGCAGTCGCGTACAGAATTAATTAAAGTAACGTAAGGCATCATATTAATCTTGCTCGCTGTGACGTGATATTGTTAAACAGGATATTAATATGAATAATGAGACGCCAATATAATTTATCGTGACGCACGTTAAACGATACGCCGTTGCTGGTGCACTATGTAATCTTAGCTGATCTCGACAAATCAGTTACAATTGAGTGAAGTTACTTAGAAACTTCACGGATTTATAATCTCAACTCTGTTTAAGATGATAAACCGAAATATAAGCTGTCACGACTTAAGCAGTATAAATATATGCATATACTTGTCGTGTAATATATTTTAGTTTTTTGTAATATTTTAGTTTTCATATTCTTGTAAGTTCTACAAACCTTTTTAATTATTTTATGTTTTATAGATTGCACAAAAATTATTTATTTAATGTTGAAAATATCGTTTTTATAACTAGGCAAATTCTCTCTGATAAAGATCAGAGATATTTATCGAACAAAATATTTAAAAAATAAAAGTTAATTTTATACATATTATATTTGCTTCTATTTTTACTTATCCTATTTTTATTAATGCTCTTTTGTTTTTCTTAAGAAAATTTTAAGATTTCAATTGTAATCAAATTCAAAAGGAATTTACATTGTTTTATATGTATATCGAGATCTTAATTTTGACGATACATTTTTTTATTAATCTAGAAATGATTCTCTTTTTAATAAAAATAATAAAATTAAGTAATAAAATTAACTAAATAATAAAACAATAAAATAAATTATATAAAATATCAAAAGTTTTTGAATTAAATTGAAAAAGAATTGAATTTAATTGGAAAAGATGAAAAATCGTTCGCGAATTAAACTTGGGAAAGCAAACTGATAACAAAATTAATGAATCTTAATATAAATTGCGAGTGTTGTAGAATTATATTTTATGAATTCTATAAATGAACAAATTGAAATACAACCAGATATACATAATAATAAATACACAGTTTTGCCGCAAAATATACGATTTTTAATCGTAGATTACACTCTGGGCTTTTAATGCAATGGCATTCCTCTGCAATTGGATGCTCGTGTCTTCCTCAGCCTTGAAGGATGATAATAGCCTGAGAATCTTTAAAGAATCGCCAAACGAATTCGAATACGTGGTGAAAAGGCACGATGTGGATGATCGTAAGGAAGATGTCGAATCTAAGGAGAGGCGCAGCACTATGGGAGGTTCCTCTTTCATTAGATTCGGACGCGGCTTTAACACCATGGATAATTCGGCATTCGATAATGAAATCGACTCAAAAGGGATTAACAGACATCCTAGATGGAAATCGCCGGACGTAGTGATCAGACTCGGTCGATCCGGAAATAAGGCTACGAACAATGAGCAACCTAAACGCGGGAAAAACGATCTTAACTTTATCAGGTATCTGTTTTATTTTTAATCTTATAGTTATTGAGATATGGAATATATTATCCCATAATTCAATGATAAAAGTCGATCAAACTGGCAACAAAGAATATATTATGTCATATGTATACCTAGTATTAGATAATACGTATAAAATGATATTGAAATATTGTCGCGATAGGCTAGATGTATACCTTTTATAAGAAATTGCGAGTATTGTGAGTTCGTGCAATTTTTGCGGCATGCACAAATAATGAGTACGCAGGTGTAGTGCGTGTATGACCTATAAAGTATCGAGATTATTATCATTATTTATCGTCAAAATGATGGGCGCGCAAAAGATACGGAGAAAAGTATACGAGGGTAAAACGCATAATACTTGTTCCGTGCCTTAGAAAAGTCTCTAAACCAGAAAAATGGACGATGACGCAACAGCATAACGGATTCACTGGAGACTCGTATCTACCCATTGTTGTTTTCTTCTTGCGTCACGACATTGGAAAGTTCAGCAAACATGTAACACGATCATTTTTCTTAGTTATATTTGCATTATCTCGCTTTTATCTAAATTGGGTGATACGCTAAAAAGGCGCGCTTCTTTAAATGATATCAAATGTGGAAATGTGCAGAGAGGCTCGTCATCGATAGATTTTGTAGGAAAAAATATATAAATGAGAAAAAAATATAATATAAATAAATAAATGGAAAAAGATATATCAAATTTTTCAGAATCTTCAGAGAAATTGAATTTACAAATCGAAAGCGATATCTACTTTTGACTCACGTAATTTTTGACATGACGTTATGCCAGACCTCGACAAAATTTATAATAATTATACACAAAAATAAAAATATTTCTTAATTTTTTTTATAAATTTCTTCATTTTAATATAATACTAGAAAATTATGATTAATGCTTTTTCTAATAGCAAAATATGTTAAGCAGTTTATCTTCTGAAATACTTCTCTCTCATAAGAGAAAAATAGCATATAAAACACATGTATAATTGCGATTGAAATATAAATAAATAAATTTTGTTTGAAACAGGTTTGGCCGTAATATACAAATTGTGCCACCCGAACTCGATCTATCTGCGGTGTGTTCTGTATTTATGAACGGCGCGGTCAGCGACACGGTTCTTCATCCGGACGTGATGAGGCTGTTTCGTCTTTGCAACAATTTGAACAAGATCGCCGGTGATATCAGCTTGGATACCCTCGAGACCGATTCGAATCATCGCGAGTGAACTGATGCGCTACTCGTCTAACTCATCCAAGATCGTTCCGTGCACCGAGGATTCGATGGCGGATGTCAACGAGGATCGCAGCACTTCAGTTTTGTCGAATTGATTTTAGCTGCCGCGAACCGAAACGTATTTGGCTTTGAGATGATGACCGGATCGCATTATTCTATCAGCGTGTATCTGTATTTAAACGAATTTCAGATATCGATTAATTAAAGAAACACGAATTTGTTTGCTATTTTTCACCAGAATCTCTGTTACGAAATTACAGAGAAGAAATAGATCTTGTTAACGAGAGATCTAGCTTAGAACAAAAAGTTTACTTTTGTTACTTATTGTGGCTTTTTAAATTAAATATGCTTGTCTGAGAATTCTTTTTCTGTGAGAATTTAATTTTTCTGTTAGAAAAAACTTATTGCTACATTTTATCGCGGAACAAAAATTAAGTTGGTTAATCTGCATTAACTTAATGTATAATTTGAATATACTGCTTCTTAACGTAATAGTAAAATTTAATTTTATCATCTATAAATTTTATGTCCGCGTTGTGCACATTAGATGGTTGAATAAAGTAAATGATAATAATATTCTTTACTTTAGCTGCACGCTAAAAAACTTTTACAAAATTATAATATATTATTCTGATTTATTATTTTTATAATAAAATATTTCACAACGAGAAGTCATATAATAATTGTTTTATTGCTAATTCTATTTTGTTCGTATATTAATTATTGGATTAATATATACATAAACGTTTGCAGCTAAAGGATTAGTTGGCCATTCTCGTGTGTATTTATTTTATCTTTAAAAAAAATGAATATATATATATATATATATATATATATATATATATATATTCACAGCACGCTGATAGCGAATGCTGATCCGCGAATGTCATATCCGGTATCAATGCTGTACATCCACCTGCCTCACTAACATATTCAATGTACATAGAGATTTTTTGACGATTTGTCGTTTAAAACACCGTCAATGTAATCGCATACGAAAAATTCGTATTATAATCGTGCACACTCTTCTTGTGTCGGCGCGAACAGCGAATTCGGCTGAACGTAGTAGTGCGTAGTGATGTATGATTAAAGGTCGTCTAAAGATATCTAAATTTAAATCAAATGTACAAGCATGGCATAAAAACATAGTTACGCTGAGAGATACCAACAGTGAATTTTTTCTTGGATTTTCGCTATTACAAAATGTTGCTAAGTACGTGTATGTTATGTATAATATAATTAACTTATAAGAAGCAACTATTATATTTGTTAAAAACCTATTATTTTAATTTTAATTTAATATTGCTGTGGAATTTTATTTCTAATATTTTCCCCCCAAAAACAGCTGTACGTCCGTGAAAAATGATCTTAATTATCAATTTTTGATGTTGTGGGGCTCCTTTCATAACTACAGTCATTTCTGTCAACTGGTATAGTGATTTATAGTCAGATCATTTAGAGCATCATTTGGCGAGCCGTTTATACCGCCGTGCGCAAATGATTGTATGTCATATTGTACGCAGTGACGTTTTATATGCGCATTAATACTCTCTGTACTACTTTATCTAGCCGGATTCGCTGTAGATCTCGCGCATAAACAGTAGGACCGATTGTCGATCCAGTTCGAGCCTACGATTAAATATTGTAAGAATTTGTCACAATGTCAAACTGCATTGTCTCCGGTAGCCTATGCCGTTGTTATGATGTATATGTAAATTTAATACGTAACTACATATAATTAAAAAAAAACAAAGTGGCTGGATGTGAACTTGTTTCTTGTACGATGCACCTATCCTATTTTTCTTAAATTAAACGCTGTTTTCTTTAAATCGTATTTAAAATAGATCAACTTTCTTTTAATCAATTTTAATTTTATTCGCTTGGGCCCTTACTCAAATTTTTGGGAAAAATATTAATTATATAATCCGTTTATCTCTGTGGTTATTTAATTAAGATTCACAACAATTAATCTACGAATAAGAAAAAAGAGAATCTTCGACGAATTTCATAAATGTATTTTATTAAATATGATTGTGCGATATGCAAACAAAATCCTTAGTGTATAAGAAAAAGATTTGCGAGATTTTCTGTTTCTAATTTTTACTTCTTAGAAAAAAAATAAACCCTCTTGATTATCTATTTTTTATCCGAATATAACATTATCTTTGCACTCTGCTTTTTTACATTTTTGATGTATTTTTATAATATCGTATACATGTTCTAATTTTTATACTGTTTTTTTTTATATTGACATAACTTCAGTTTCTCTCATATATTACTTAGTGTTGTCACTACTTTTCTATTTTACTTTCAATTTTGTATCTTTTTCTGTATGTCAAATAACTTTTTCATTAAGATTTATCTATATTAATTTTTATTTATCTCTTTCATCTATCATTGTCTTAGAACAATTGCAATTACGTCCAAGTACCAGTGTACTCTATTCTCATGTGTTGCAATATATTAAATATATTTTTTCATATATCACGCACATATTTCTCATACATCACAGGATATCATGTACATTAATTTCATGTCTCTCTTTTTGTATTGGTTTCTTGAATTGTTACAGATGTAGCGCAGTAAAAACGAATATGACATACGTCTCTAGGAAAGATAAATAATCACGCGGAAACGGAAGAGAATAAATTTGTGACAGCGGAAAATGAAGAAAAATGTGTCGGAGCGCGTCGGCGGCATATGAGCTTTGGATTTACTTGTTATTCGCCGTCACGAAACTCTCGCTATCCATTAATCGGAGGGTTAGAAGAGAAAGAGATCATCTCTTTCTTTCTTTCTCTCTCTCTCTCTCTTCCAATCTTCCCGCTATGGTGATAACGTCAATGTCGTACAATGCTGGACAATGTGTGATACGGTCACCTCTCTAGTGAGTCCTTGCCTCTTTTCTTTCACTACACAACCTCGCCCGTGCTTAATCCGCGCTCTGAAGATCAACATAGCTGACAGCTATCGTAAGGTTTCACTGAACCACATGCGTAGATGTGACCGTGATATGTCTAGTCTATACCCAGCATTTCTTGTGCAAGTATGCTAACATTGTTGTAAAAAAATATAAAAAAATTTTTTAAACTATTCCGTAAGTATATATTATAAAAGTAATGTGTGTTTCATAAAATGTGAAAAATGAGTTACGACAAGATATCGTCTTTTATTCATAAATATTTTTCTCTCTACTTTCTTGAAATATAAAAGATATCATAAGAGTGTATATTAATATTTATTCTAGTTTGTATACAAAGTGTTCTATTCAAAAATTATATCAGATATCTTTTATTAAGATTCTTTTATCTGTAGTGTTCGAGGAATTAACAATTGACAATAAGAGACTATATTAATGATCAATTAAATTTCAGAAAATAATAGATATTTATATATTATAATTAATTTTAACTAGATTTGATTTTGTAATAAAATTATTTTATTTAGAATTCAATTCCATATTTTGTGCGATTAAATCTTGTGAATGTGCTGTTTATCTTATAATGGGACTTCATAATAATAGTTTATATTAAATAGTAATAACGTATTTTTATTTAAAAATCTATATATATATTTTATAATTATTAACTGCAAAATCTAAAAAATGCTGATTGATCTAATTGATCTAAATTTCTTACATATATGTGTGTGAACGTAGGAAGCCCTATTTTTGTGGTATCATTATATACATCTGTATGTATTAATCCACATTCTATTCTTACATCTAGTACAAACTAAAGATTATATTGTACAACAGTTTTTTATTTCTTTGTGAAAATGATTAGTCTTTATAACTAAATCGTGCAAAGAATCTATCTATTAAAATATCCGATTAATTTGAAGAGACATACATGCATTTTGCATAATGTTATTATTAAAAAATTATGGAAATTACATGAAGTTAGAAAAACATTTTTATAATTTTAATTCTTTGTTCAATTGTGTAAATAGCTTTGCGAGACTACATTACAGAAAAATGAATCCGTCGGAATCGCAACAAGATCTACTCTCGAATGAAACGAGATCAGTTTCAGTGCACTCATTACACACACCCATTGAATATATTCTTGGCCCAGTCGAGAAGCATTTCCTGCTTAGCGCGGAACGAGGTGATTGTGCCACTGTCAAAAGGTAATCCTTTGCATTAATACCTAAAGATATCCTGACGAGGCGTAAAATAAACTAGCTTTTGAGATAAATTCCACCCGATTCCGTGACATAGACTGGATTCTATAAGCACGTGTAAAGTATTATTATTGTTGCGCAAAGTGTGATGTATGATTTATGTTATTGAATCAACAGAATTTTATATAATGTAAAGAATTTACAGAATCAAATCAACAGAAATATATAACTATAGAGTATTTCAAAATTCTGAATTGTAAATTCTTCATTGCATATTTTTTATACTAATTTCGATATTTTTTTAATCAAACGAAATATATGTCCAAATATATGCATATGTATATATATATATATATATATATATATAAAATTATAAATAATATTTATAATATATATAATATTTAGAATAATTAATAATTAAATATAAAAGATTTATAATGTGCAAGTAATTTTAAGTATATTTTACTTTAATTAGAATTTTGATTAAAAAATTATATATTATATGTATCATAAAATATATGTATAATATGTTGTAAATTGAAGAATAGAGAGTATAATAAATAATAAGTAATGATCTTACTATACATTTTGAAAAAAGTGTCAAAATTATTCAAGGAAACTTATAAAGATATCTGATGATTGTAGGATAACTAATCTATATGTAAGCTCCAATAAACAATATGTATGCATATTCGTATAAGCTCTAATTAAGAAATCCTATAAAAACACATTTTAATTGAAAGAAATTGCAAGTTTAGAAATATTATAGAAAAAAAAGATCTCTCTCAGATTTTCACAGTTATAATTCTTTATAGTTACAAGTCTTGTTTGCCGGAAGTATTATCTTGACAAGAAAAATATTAATTACCCTATAATTTATATCGAACAGGTTAATTGAAGAGAACAAAGATCACCCCGAAATATTAAATATTAATTGCGTCGATCCACTAAATCGATCAGCACTGATAGCCGCTATCGAAAACGAAAATATCGAGCTAATTAAGCTGTTACTTGAATTAGGAATCGAAGTAAAGGTAAGTATTATCGTGGGCTCGAAACGGCACGATGTCTCTCATGAAAATCATGCGACTGTCGCTCCCCTAATTATTACGAGCAATGCGTGTTAAGCTGATATACCGTAATCGATGTCTACCGGGATACGCTAACTGCAGTTCCGTGCATACATTCGATGTTTTGGGTCATGCTGTACATCAAACGATGTATGGTTATTATAAGTGATATTCTTATAAACTACCTGCATTACACAGTGTCTCCAAATTATATACCTAAGAGGATAAAACCCTTAAAACCATAATTTGTGCATCTTTCAGGATGCACTCTTGCATGCTATTAAAGAGGAATATGTGGAAGCGGTGGAGTTATTATTGGAGTGGGAAGAAAAAATACACAAGCCGGGGCAATCTTACGTGAGTCTTAATGCGTTTCTAATTAATTTTGACATCGATATATCTTTTAAATAGAAAATTGTTTAAATATATATAATTTATATTTTTAATGAAAAATAATCTATAGCGTACTCAAGTGTCTAAATTTAATTTAATTATTCTTGAAATGTTCTTAAATAAAAAATTAAAATTTTTTTATTTAAGAACATTTATATTTGTATTTTAAGACGTAAAGAGTAAAATAATATCTTTTATCAACAATTATACTTCTAAAGATAACCAGATTCTTTTCTTGATAAATTTTCTAATTTATTTTATAATTGATATTTATGTAAATGAAAGAATTTAACATTAATTTGTTTTAAATAGTTTACTTTGTTTCATATTATTTTTAAAATATGTGCACCAATTGCAAGACAGCTGCGATTTTATTCGAAATTTATATTTAAAATTTAATGTTTTTAAATAAATATAAATAATTTTAATAATTAAAACACAAGATGCAATTTTTCTATCTGTTAAATAATTTTGATTTTAATGTAAGAAAATAAGAACAATTATTATTTAACTAACATTTTGTATATTACAATCATGACTTTTAATAGACTTTTAATTGTGACCATGGTAAGGGAAATAATCTCCACGTCTTATTTCAGAGCTGGGAAGCCGTGGATGTATCATCAAATTTTACACCTGATATAACACCGCTGATCTTGGCAGCTCATAAAAATAACTATGAGATATTGAAACTTCTTTTAGACCGCGGAGCAACTCTTCCAACACCTCACGATGCTAGGTATACAAAAAAGAATAAAATGTTTCAAAATAACATTATTAAATTTAGCATTTTTAAAATTGGGTAAATACTTAATAATTAGAAAAAATTTTTTGAATTGAAATTTTTTCCTATTCTAATAGTATAAAATATTATAAATATTATTACTAAAAAATATATTACTATTAAACGATATATGTAATTATTTTTTTATATGTACTATTAGTCAAGCTTATGTGTCGACTACACAAGAAGGAAAAAAGAAATGTTATAATTTTATTGCAGATGCGGTTGCGATGAATGCGTCAGTTCTAGTGAACAAGATTCTCTTCGACATTCGCAATCTCGAATAAACGCATATCGTGCGCTTACCTCTTCATCTTTAATCGCGCTTTCATCAAAAGATCCACTTTTGACGGCCTTCGAGCTTTCGTGGGAACTACGTCGGCTCAGCAGAATGGAACAAGAATTTCGCGCTCAATACAATGTATTTAATTTATCATCATTCTTTTTCTCTTCTTCTTTTTTTTTTTATTTGAATTCCTTTAATTGGTCAATGCACTATTTTTGATTGATATTTATATTTTGTTCAAATTTAGATATTTTGCACACATTATAGAATTCTTTAATACAGACGTAACTTTACCTATAAATTTGGTAAAAATAATTACAAAGATTTATATAAAAATTTGTCATTTGGTTTGAATTTTATTTATCTTAATCTAAAAAAATTAATTGTTAAAAATTATATTATTAAAATTGTACAAAGATTATTAAATGACAAAAATGTATGCAACTTGGAAACAAAGTTGAAATTTCTTTTTACGTATTTTTACTAAATTTAAATATGTTGTATGTTGTGAAATATTAAATCAAATAATTCAATTTAGCAAAATTGAAGAGATTTTGTTATAAATGAAATTCTGTAGCTTTGTTGTCTTAAAATAATGATTATAAGATGATTATTAATCACCAGGAAATGCGGGAACAGACGCAACAATTTGCAACCGCTCTACTGGATCACGCACGTACATCTTACGAATTGGAAGTAATGTTGAATTATAACCCTACCGGAGAAAATTGGGATCCTGGGGAGAGACAGACCTTGGACCGACTCAAACTTGCTATTAAATATAAGCAGAAGCAAGTATGTAAACTCTGAAATATTTATTATATAATAATTGATTCTATGTACTTGTATTTTTTTACGAAATATGTAAGATATGAAAAAAACTAAAATAAATTTAATAATAGTAAGAGTTTATAAATATATAAAAAATAAAAATAAGAATTATTTTATATAGAAATTATTTTTATATTGTTCTACATAATAAGTATTAGTGAATATTTACGATTTATGTTTTTTGTCGAAGTTTGTCGCTCACCCGAATGTACAACAATTATTGGCTGCTATTTGGTACGATGGTCTTCCGGGATTCAGAAGAAAAAATATAATAGCACAATTTCTGGAAATTGGCAAACTCGGGGCAATGTTTCCGGTTTACAGCACTATTTACATGCTAGCACCTACTTCACAAATGGGATCGTTTATGAAGAAGCCATTTGTCAAATTTATATGTCATTCCACATCATACGCTTTCTTTCTAAGTTAGATCGATCACACTTTTCATTTTTTTATGTCTTAAAGTCCTTAATTTATTAAATTAATTTAATCAATAATCTCTGGCTTACAGTGCTTCTTGGTATGGCATCGCAAAGAATTGAATATCTCTTAATCGAATTATTTGGAAATGAATGGATGCGAGATATACTTGCTGGCTGGAAAAAGCACGAACGCGGTTGCATACCTGGTTTCGTCGAAACAGGCGTAGTCATCTATGTGATAAGTAACATAGCCATACATTATAATTATTATAATTATTTAATTACTTTTAACACAATAGGGAAAATGTACGATACAAATTATTGTCGATTTTGCTAAATATCTTTATCACATATAATCGCAGGATAACAGTTGTTATTAATCTAACGAGAAAAGTCACTTTAGCAAGTATATTTTAAAAATAAGTTCTTCAAATTTAGATAATTATTTTTATATAATTATTAATATATGTATAATAACTCGCATTATTATTATTGTTTGATTAATTAATTTTGATAGAAACATTTTACTATGATTTTTATGCAATTAAATTATCGCAAAAAATTGTTGTAAATTACGATACTTTATATCTATTTAATAAATTATAATTGTATTTTTCTTTTTCTTTCTTTCTCATAGGCTTAATTATCGGTGAAATTAAGTCTTTATGGGCGGACGGATTAGCTGAATATGTATCGGATCTGTGGAATATTGTGGATTTTATTCAAAATACCTTTTATGTGATTTGGATTAGTTTGCGTGTCACGGCTTGGTGGATAGTTCAGGTAAATTTAATATTTTTATCAAAAATATATATAAACCAATATAATATGATTATTTAATAAAATAGAACGAATATTGGAGTGGCTTAGATCCTTGGTACCCAAGAGATCAATGGCATGCATTCGATCCAATGCTTCTTTCAGAAGGAGCATTTGCAGCTGGAATGATTTTCAGGTGACTTTCAATCGATTGTTTAGATGTTTCTTTCATCGACTAACATCTCATGTTATATGTTTGCTGTTTCAGCTTTTTGAAACTTGTTCATATATTCAGTGTAAATCCTCATCTCGGGCCACTCCAGATTTCCCTCGGGAGAATGATAATAGATATTATCAAGTTCTTTTTCATCTATACCCTTGTACTATTTGCCTTTGGCTGCGGTGAGTAATACGGCTTCCGATTAGTTATTCATTCGCGGAGCTCTGTTTTGTTTCTCGTCGCGCGTGCTAATTGAAAAATCTTCCCACTTTTAGTCGTAATTTTTCTTTTTTTCTCGTTAGTACAAAATAAAAACTGTAAAGTAGGACAACGAATTGCATTTGAAATTCATATATTGTTTTAGGTATGAATCAACTGATGTGGTATTATGCAGATTTGGAGAAAATGAAATGTTATCATGCGTCTGACGAGGTGCCAGATTTTGATAATCAGGAGAAAGCTTGTTCAATATGGAGAAGATTCGCTAAGTATGAAGATCAACTAAATATAATCCTCTAGAGTCTAGAGAAAAGTTTCTAAACTTTAATCGTGCTTTTAGCTTGTTCGAGACATCGCAATCTCTTTTCTGGGCAAGTTTTGGCATGATCGATTTGTTGTCGTTTGATCTAACGGGCATTAAAAGTTTTACACGATTCTGGGCACTCCTTATGTTTGGTTCTTACTCCGTGATAAATGTTATAGTGCTATTGAATATGCTGATTGCTATGATGTCTAATTCTTATCAAATTATTTCGGTAATGATATTTTAAATTTTTATGAGAATATTATTCAATATCTTAATGCATACAAAGAATTCTGATAAAATGCAAAATTTGTGATTATAATAGATATTTCATACATATTAATATTAATTATACACTTATATATTTTTAGGAAAGATCTGACACAGAATGGAAATTCGCTAGAAGCCACTTGTGGATGAGTTATTTTGAAGATGGTGATACTGTACCACCACCATTTAATATGATTCCGACGAATAAAACTTTCAAAAAATTATTAAAATTAGGAAAAGCCGGTCGTTCGACAAAATCTTTCATTGTGAGTAATATTTTTTATATGTATATTTAGAATATGTTCATTAAGGAAAATATTTCGAATATTTTTAAATCGAACATAGAAACTGCGATTAAAAGAGAATGTAATTACTTTCGAATATATTTTATATCAAAACTGATAAAAATCATTAAACTTACAAGAAAATATTGTCTATGGTATAGCATATAAAAACTGCTTTTGAAAGAGAAATATTTATTTAGAAAAACAACATTAAGAACAAAATTATTATTAGAGAAAACACTCATATATATATAGAGATTTAAAATATGTACTCTAGATACTGTTACGTGTTTATGTAATAAATCATTTAATCTTTATTATTGTCTAATACGACCTATCAATTAAAAAGTAGAAATCACAATGCATTTATGGTGTTACTAATACTGTTTTTAACAATTTTATTTCAGAAAAAGTCTCGAGAAAAAGCTATGATCAGACATGATACCGTAATGCGTATGCTTATACGGCGTTATGTGACAGCTGAACAAAGAAAACGAGACGAGTTTGGTATCACGGAGGATGACGTCAGAGAAATTCGACAGGATATTTCAACTTTCCGATATGATCTTATTGATATCCTTCGGAAGAACGGAATGCACGCACCGCAGCTTGACAAAGAAGAAACAACGAGTCAGTATATTTATGCATAATTAAGCTAGATCTAGAATGTACCTATTCGACACATATATGAATTTGATACGCGCTTTCCTTTCATTTCATAATCGTTAACGTATAAAGATTTTGATAAATTTCGAAATAGAGTTGCCGGCATATTGTGAATAAATTTAAAGATATATATTTATGTTGGATTTTTTTAGATAAAAAAAGCTTGACGTTTACACGATAAATAACATATTTAATTAATTGACTTTTATATAAAGTTTTATATCCTATATTTAGTTTTTATATAAAGTTTTATATCTTATATTTAGTCTATTCCTATATAAAGTTTTATATAAAGTTTTGTATCCTATATTTAGTTAGTAGTTTTATATCCTACATAAAAACTAAATATTCTATTCTATTATGCATAACATATGTATGTTCAGCAATGTCTTAAAATATAATTTAAAAAGTTCAAGAGAGAGAAGTGTCAGTTAATTTCTTTCTAAATAGAATTACATTTAACTAAAAATATTTCGATTTTTAGATAATGTATTCTTGAAAAACAAATATATATCTACGTGATTTTATGTATTTTTCAAGTACCCGGCAAGAAAGGCAGAGTAATGGAACGTCGTCTGCAGAAAGACTTCCAAATTGGTATAGTAGAAGGTATCGTGCAAGCTGTCATTCAGAGTGAAAAGGAACCAAAGGACGTGTTTAGTCAAATCGCGAAAGCTATCGGACGAAAAGGGAGTGCTGCCGGTAGAAAGGATTGGAATGCCGTGGTGAGACAAAATACCATCGCAAAGGATCCGATAGGAAGTACAAATGAAGCTGTGCAACGTCAAAGCAGACGTAGTTTACGTCGTCATATGCAACATCAGCCCGATTCCGATCTGGCGTCTATGGATCCGAAACGACTGGTTGATTATAATCCGAATCTCTCGGACTTTACACCGGTTACTAGGATAGCCTACGCTAAATTCATGATGAGCAAGAATAAGTTAAATGAGCAACCTGATGGTCAGTTTATATTAAAATTTTTATCTACTCTCTGATTTATATCTGAGCTTTTAATATATTTTTTTGCAGAAATAATGTTGAAATAAATTATACAAAATATTAACACGTACATACAGACATAATCGTTACTTTTGGCTTATGAATTTTTTCCACCAAATTGTTTTTTTCATACTGACACTATAATAGAACACTTTTATAAATGTTTAAAGTTTATTACATTCTCAAATTAATTTACTGATTTAAACATATAAATACATCGGATACTAATAAGCAAATTAAATATCCTTACAATTCTTTTGTTCTATTATATTATATTGTGATATCAATAAAAAATAAAAATAAATGCAAATGTATATATATTTATTTCTTTGTACGCAGATACAAATGGTACTTCTTCGAATGCAAACGAGGAGAGTGTCGAGGCTCCTCGAAGAAGTAGCAAAATAATAAAAGAAGACACTCTTACAAATATAGTTCCACGTCCTATTATTAAAAAAAGTGTACTGAAGTCTATAAGCAACAGTAGTATGAATAAATCGGTAGAAAGAACACTTGACGTTAAACTCATCGAAACCAGATCTCCTTCGCCTGTACCCGAAGATCCTATAGAAGAGGAAGCTAGCAAACAGTCAACATCTTTAGAAACGTCTGATCAGGAGAAAAAACTTGAAGAAAATGATAAAAAGGAAAGTGCGCAAGAGAAAAAAAGAAAGATGGAGAGACAAGCAAAACAGAGAAAATAGAAGAGCAAAAGAAAGAAAAGAAGGGAAAAAATGAAGATGAGCAGTCCGAAAATACAGAGAAGAACAACAGTGAAGCGATCGCGGAGAAAACGCCGGAAACAAATGAGGAAATTGATGAAGAAAAATCTATTGAATCTGGCGCAAAGGAAAATAAGACGGTTGTTGCACCCATCCAAACTACACAATTACGAGGAAAGTCAAAAGCAACGGGCCAAATAATGGAAGGTTGGATCTAAAGTCAAACATCGAATCAAACTTTAATATTTCTTTTTCAGATCTTAAATAAATAATGTGTTCGCGCGTATATTAAGCATATTATACAATATTATATTTATCTGTAAAGTCTCGAAGTGCGCGGTTTGATAGAAAAAATATATTATGATAATTCGCTAAAGCTTGATATATTCAAGATACGTATCACGAAACGGATTTGCTTCAATCGTAATGCAAACGTTCGCGTTTCACATGATAAGCAATATTTTATATTCAAAATAATATATTATCTTTGTGTTGCATTTTTTTATCCATAACATTTAAATCAATTTTATTTAGATCTATTTATTTATATCAATTTCTTTCAAAGTAATTTCCTTAATTCAATTACGTTAATTATGGTTATAAATGCATCATTAATATATACATGATCAACTTTATGTTTATAAACAATAATGAACATATTTATAATTTAAATGTAACTTTACTAAAATCTAAATGTGCTATAATTTAAAAAGAATAAAATTTGTTTTAATTTATTGCAGAACTTTGTTAAAATTAAAGCAGATAACACAGAAAATGCCACAAAAATAAATAGTTTGCTTGTCACTATGTTATAGATTACAGTTTTCTAAACACGATAAACAATCGAAAAATTATGTATTTATATTTGCTGATGCTAGTTTTTCGTGGTTTGTTTTTATCGTAATGTTTATTAGCAATTAGCAGACTTATTCTTAATTTCAATAATTTTCATAGAAACTACGTATATAAAAAATTATACTATCACATGTGCAATGTTCTATCTTATGTATATATATAAATATATATTATATATATTATAAATATATTATATATACTATAAAATATAATAGAAGTGATGTAATAAACAAAATTACGTGTGTAAAATATTTTACAGTATAATTTTATAATAGATAATTTATTAATTCATGCTATCAATATCAAATAGACATTTGATATACAAAATTGCAAAATTTTGATAGCTATTTATTTAAGCAGATAAATATATCATGCAATTTATTTATTTAAAATAGAAATCAAAGCAAAGCAAATTGTGATATAAATAAATAAAATTATTACTTCAGTATTTTAGTTTTATTTAGTATTATAATTACTGTTATCTATTTTTAGTTATATATTTCTAATATTTTTTAAATATTAATAATATTGTGTATTAATCCTGACTTGATACAATTTTGCAATTTTGTATTTCTTATAATTGGCGTAAATTAATAAATATCTAACTAGTGTATGTTGAGTTCATTACTGTTAGGTCTCGCAGATTAACTATGTTATTATAATGTTTTTATTCCATCCGGCAATGCATAATTCATCATGAATGATTATGTTTATATTATTTTGTGTAATAGCCAACTGGTTTGAGTTTGAGAGGGATTGTTTTTTTTTGCATTTTTCGTACTGTTTCTCTTTAGACGTGTAATGTTTTTGAAAAGTGAATATACCTGCGCGATTTCATATTTTTAAAACCGAGTAAAAAAACAGTGAATAAAAGTAATGGAAAAGAAGGTCAGGGCAGTAGAAAAACAAACAAACAAAAAAAAATAAAAAAATAAAAATGAAACCAATAATTGGAAAATATAAAGGAATAAAATTGATAAAATTATGAATAGATCTCGTCACTATATTATAGACAAATAAGGAAAATAATAAAAAAAAATATACTAAATCTGACGCAAGAGAGAGTGACAGCTAATCTAAACGATTCAATTAAGAGGAAAATCAAAAGCAATGGATTAAGTGTGTAATTGGAGATTAGATTTAAATTTAAATACATCTAGATGTTGTAGATTAAGTTTATGTATTTTCTTCCAACTATTATAACAAAAATAGCTATAAATATTTTTTATATTATATATAATATATTTGAGCGCTAGTTATGTTACTAAATTTCTTTTATTTAAACAGTCCTTCAATTAAGTAACACGATCTAATAGAGGAAAGCTTAGATGAGGAAATTTTACAATAGCGTGTAAAGGAGGAGAAACCTTGGCATAATTCATTACACGTATCATAAAACGGATTTTCCTCATGTACAACGCAAGTGTAATTTCAAAGCGTTTTTACGTGACAGACGATATCCAGAGATATATCTGCATATGTTATCTATTTCACGCATATTATTTCATTCAGGTACATTGTGAAATCTTTCATAATTCGCAATATTAATCAGTTACTTTATAAATACATCGATAATACGTAATCAATTGTGTACTTTTCATAATAAAATTGTTCTTTGTAATTTAGAAGAATTAAAGGGTTTAACTCTACTCTATGAGCTAAATTAAAGACTAACTTACAAGGAAAATAGAATTCATTGCACAATTCTGTTAAGAAAATCGAATTGCAACAATTGGAAATTCCGCAAAGCTTGCTTGTCATAGGTCTACGAACGCGATAAGCAAATTACTCATATGACTCATTTATATTCCCTGACATAATTGGTTTTCCTTGTTCGTTCTTAAAGATTCAATGTCACATATGATAAGCAGATTGTATTTAATACTCTCCTCCTCACGATGCAATTAATGATTCTTATCGAAATTACGTGCCCATCGTCATGTGCGATATCGTATATAAATACAACAAATATAATGATAGTGACTTAATAAATAAAACAATGTATGTGTGTATATATGTATATACATATAATTATCTCTCTAACAACATATTCTTCAAGCTGTACACTTGCCGCATAATATTGTTAGGAAGGTTCTGAAAGATAAAATAAATAGTATTTAAAAGCGGTGAAGTTAATTTAATACATAATAAAAATGCTCATTCTTATTCTGTATTAATTTAGTATTTCTAAAAAGTATCATATTATTAAATTAATTTTTTATTAAAACCGTTAAAAAATGTTTAAAATAATATATTTCACATTTCTAGAGAAATATTTTAATAGAATAAATGTATATTTTTTGCTTTCTATATTAATCTATATTCTATTGCTGTCTATATTAATTAGTAAAATTAAATTTTATAAAAACTGTTTTCATTTCCATTAATTTGACAATTATTATTATTAAAAGTTTACCTTCGTTTATGTTCTATTTTCTCGATTTTTGTTTCGTTAGAAATAGTCTTTTTCTTTCTATTGGCCTTTTTATCTCCCTGTAATATATAGTTATATTATATTATACCTATCTCTAATTATATCTTACAGAATAAATTATGTATGTCTAATGTATTATCATTTATAGAAATTTTAGAATTTTACTTTATAAATTTGAAATTCTGATTCTCGAATGACTATTGATTATGATATTGATACAAATAATTATTTTTTTATCTAATTAATCCTAAACTTATCAAAGCTTACATCTTCAAGTTCACCAATTAAATATTTTTTAAGCATCTTTTTCGCGTCTGAAGAATGACCGAATTCATCGAATCCATCTGTCGCATCTTTTCCCGCATATTCTTCAATTAACTCTGGACCACCAGGATGCTATAATTAATTTATTTACTGCAATATTTTTATTAAATCTTATTTATTAAATTATTTGTAATATTATAGCTTGTAGTAAATATTTGTGGTAGTACTTTGTAAAAAGAAAACAATTTATATGAAAAAATTGATAATTCTATAATAATATATAATAATAGAATAAAATAATGGCAGACAAATTAATACACGTATGGGATATAATTAAAATTATGAAAATGCCTTTTCTTTTTGTTAAACTTGGATGATCTTTTGTCAAAGTTATCTAATTTGTTTTAGTAACGTCTATGAATAAAAATAAGAATTTAAAAAGAAAAATATAAAAATTTGATATCTTTCATGTAGACCTTTTAAATTAATTTTTTAAATTAAATTTTTAATTAATTTTCAAATTTATTTTTTAATACATTTTTTGTTCTTTGTTTTTTAAAATATATTCTATTGTTATTAATATTATTGTTTGATAGTCATAACAGTATAATATTGTATATATCGCTCAAGATCATTTAAACTTAGGGAAACCCTATTATATAAATAATTTAACTTAGAGTTAGGGGAAACCCTATTATATAAATAATTTGAATTTGCCGAATTTAAACTTAAGGCAAAGCAGAAGTATTATTTTTCATTTTTCCAATTAATTTTCTTAGTTTTCAAAATTGACTTTCATGAAAATAAGAAGCTTGATACAAAATTTAATGTAATTTGCATTATTTAATTTTGCAGAATCATTACATTTTCTCAATTGTATTACGATTTTAAAAATATACATTTGAACATTTTATAAATTTATGAATTAAAAAACTGGAAATACGTGTTAGAAATCTCATTAAAATTGTATGCTATTGTTAATTAATCACACATGGATTTGCAAAACGTAAATTAATTTTTTATTATGTATATAGTTTATTTACGATTTTTGCATGCGCATTACGCCCATATTTGTCTATACATTATTATGTACATATTTGATTCTATTGTAAATATACCTGAGACATGTAATCCGTCACATCGTAAACGTTATCATAGAGCACAATCCAAGTTCTGGTCCCGTTTTTGCCATTATACTTTGCGATATCCGCGAGCGAATAACGAATCACTGAATTAGACATCCTTCAACAAAATCTCGCGAGAAAGTGAGAAAATATTCATTCGCGTCTGTGATATAAGTAACATGTGTCGATCTTTTGATCAATGGTATTCCCGGGACGTACACAGTACACAGACGATAAGCATATCATAATTTAGACACGTAAATTATATCTACAGATAATTGTGTCTATCGTTATCTCAGTTCATTTCTTTAATGTCACAGCTAATACAAAAATATAAATATCAATTTATTAGCTGCAATGTCATATTAAACAATTATTTTTTTAAATCAAGAGATAATTTATTTAAGGTTTGCTCGACGTGACATTTTTCAATATAGAAATAATTTGAATGACAAAATATAATATTAAAACTACATTCTATTATTTTTCACATTTGGTATACTTATAAAAAAACATTCTTTAATTCTTTTCGAATTAAACTCTTTGTGCTTCTACTTTAATTGAATTGTTTTAATAGTTTGTTCTAATAATTTAATTATTAATTATTGATTTAGTTTATTAAATTATTAAATAATTTAATTATTTTAAGATAATAAATTTAATAAAAATTAATAGTCAACTGTGTATGTGTCTTAATATAAATAAATTATAAATACTTATACAAAAAAGGCTAAAAATATACATTTATATATGCTTTCATATTTTATACTTATTTTTTACGCCAGAATATTACACAATGCGCACTATACACATATATATATATATATATATATATACACGTACGCCATTTATTTCCTTATATCATACATTATCTAATAAACTGCAATTAAAAAATACCAAATTAAAAAGAAAATATTTTCTTAGAATATGAAAATTTGACGTAAAATAATATTAAATCAATTTATACAAATAGTTTCTTGATTAGACTTACGATTAGATAAATTGTATTTTTAAATAAACAATACATTTTTTTATATGTAATGTTAATTCAACCCCTAAAATAATTTGATATGCAAGAAGACATATTTAGATTATTTTTATATTATAAAACGATAATAAATTAATTGTCACATTATATTTAGCTATCGTTTTTCTCGGCATATTATTAAGATACGCGATTGTCTTGTTAATACTCGAGTGAAAAAAGATAGTATTTTTGCGAGATGCTCATTTTAAATTCCTTTTGAAAAGGCGATTGCAATATCCAGAAATAATAATTTATTATGATTATTATAATTAACGATTAATCAATTTTCGCTAAACGACGCATAATAACTGTTTCGCGATAATATAAATTTTATTTGAAAATATTTAAAATATATATAACATATTTTATTAATTTTGTTTATATATCCTATACAAGATAAAAATTATATAATTCATTATTATTATTTTTTCCTATTAAATTTTTATTTTGTTCCAGAAAAAATTTTGCAAAATTTTAAGAAGAAGAAAAAAAAAAAAAAAAAACGAAACAACAAAAGATAATTGTGTATCTTGACAATAATATGCCGAGAAAAACGCTAGCTAAATACAAAATGACAATTTTAATTTATTGTCTCAAAATATCAACATTTTATAATATAAAAATAAGCTGAATATTTTTTTTGTCTTTTTGCATATCAATAAATTAATTTTAGTCAACATTTGGTTAACATATATAAGAAGACTAAGACGTTTATTTAAAAAAATATAAAATTTATTTTAATAATTAAGAAACTATTTATATAAATTATTAATATTATTTTATGCTAAATAAGTTTCATATTCTGAGAAATCTTTTTTATAATTGAATTTTTTATATTACATTATTGTGATTTATTAAAATTAAAAGAAGAATTCTTGTTTCATATTATAGGAATATACATAATGTTATTTCTTCCGAAATGTGCAAGTTTAACGTAAAAATGATTATTATATATTAATTTAAAAATGTAAATAATAAAATATTCAATTCTTGTCCGAAATTATGAAGGACAAATTAATTTTCGGAAGTGATTTTTCTAGTATTATTAGCTCTCATATTGAAAAAATAATTTGACAATGAGAGAGAAAGAGAGAATCTCAGGATATAATTTTTGTCTTTTTAAAATGTATCATATAAATATATATAGGGCCGGTTGTTCCAACTCTTGATAAGTTTTGCCTGATAAGTAGCATATCTTTGTCTCCTTTTTTAGAACTTATCTGAAAAGAGACGAAAATATATGCTACCTGTCAGGTAAAACTTGCCGAGAAGTTGGAAAAATCAGATCATAAGTATTGAAATTTTCTAAAGTCTTATAATCAAGGGTTTTCAGAAATTTTCTACCCGCGATGCCGATAGCTAATTGGATAAATTTCTTGTCTGCACAACATGCAGCATTTCTAATAAATGACTAGCTTACATGCAAATTAGCACGAAAGACGCAAGTTTTCTACGCATGCGTGGTATTTATGCCTCCATTTGGCAATATGTATGTATTCGGGAATGTACTGTGGATAGAGAAGAATGAATGAGAGAACGGTGAAAAGCAACATAATTTTTTCTTTGATCGATCTGTGCAGCGTGTCGCCAAAATAGAAAATAGGAAGGAAAAATTGGAAAAAATCTTGTCAATATTTTCGCGCGCATTCTCAACTATTAGTAGTAAGGCAAGGACTTTAGCACGAGGTTATAAACTTTGTCAATTCGCTACTCGTGACTGCCTTCTAATATTTGTATCCACGATTGACATCTGGTTTTTCGAAGATTCTAATAGGGTCACCACCTGCCGTACGTTTGCATCCAACGCGTGACACATCATTCATCAATGATGATAAGTTGGCCGAGGAATTTTCTAAAGAATCCTATCGCACACGCGATTAGATCCGCCTGTAAACTTAGATATCCGAGTGAAAAGGTCGAAGTACGTCGAGTGCGTGTCAAGCGCGTGTAAGCGCTCGTGGATGTATAGTGTACAAGAAAAACGTGGTCTCATACAAATCAAGGATGTAATGCTATTCTATTACGATGCTACAACGTACCTCTGGTTCACGTGAGAACGTCTGGTTTGTGGAATGTCTATGAGGTCGATCATTTATATGTATACAATGTCAACGCAACTAAGCATGCAAGACAAAAAAGATTTGGAGAAGTTCACCAAATATCTGGCTTTAAGAGCCGCCCAAATTATAGTGCAATCAAGATCAGGTCAGAAAGTCAATACTACATGTAAACCGGATTCTTCTGCTGGCGATTGGGTAAAAGTACTGTACCATACAATTTACTTGGTTTTATCCCACTGCTTTTTGTTAGGGTCTATTTTCATTTTTAAACAGACAAAATCAACTATATTTTATATAGAAATTATCTTTGGGATAAAACTAAAATATTGAATTAAACCAAATAAATTGAATGGTTCATATGAACATTCATAATTTTGTTTCTTAGTACTTGAAGAAGACTAAATATGTTTGTATTTGATTTTGTAGTTTAATCTGGCAATAAAAGAACTACCTGAGGTCTCTGCTGATGCTAAGAGAGCACTTTGTGGAGAAATAGTAAGTTCATCTGTACCTCTCTGTATAGAAATTTCTCTGAAAACAGTAGAGGGTGACAAGATGGTTTTGGAAACTTGGAGTCTTGGTGTTTTGCCGGAGCAAAGCGATCCAACTGTGCGAGTAACATATACTGTGTATAATAGAATGGGAATTTTACTGAAGTCATTGCTTTCTGTGTCAAGAACTGCACCTGCTTACAAACTAAGCAGACGTCAAGGGCCTGATTCTTATACTATGTGCTATCGAATATATATGGGAGAGCCTCAGCTGCACAATTTAGGTATATTTAATTATTATTTAAGTTAGAAATTTTAAGGATTTTTTTTCATATATTGTTTAAAATCATTTAGGTGATAATTATAAACATATGAGAGTGGGTCAATTATGTACTCCAGTGGGTACCATACATTTGTCAGTCTCTTACAGAACAAAAATGACCATATCACCCACTCATAAGGGACGAGATTCTATTATGCTTAAGAGCGATCATTTTCACTCAGACTTAAGTCCGCGCCATGCACGATATCAGTTAAGGTCAGTAAATAAAATTCTGAATATTATAATAAAATTCGCGTTAAAAATATTTAATTAAGAAATGTGTACATATGTATAATAATGTTTTATATATATAAATATCCAGCGAGGAAACATCAAAGTCCCTCAGCGATACTATCAAAGTTGGTGCATTTGTGATAAACAAGCCTGTAATTGTTAATGAAGAGGATCTTGTGATACCAGACGTACCATTCAGATCCTTACTGACACCCAAACAAACATCGCCTCCTCCACTATCTCTAATAGATCCTACAAAGACTGCAACAGCAGCTACAACTGATAGTAACAATGGAAATAATGAAAGACTCAATAACGATAATACGATTTCAAAATGCGCCTCTCAAAATGGATCTAGAAGGAGTAGTTGTTCAATGACTAGTGCCAACGATGATTTATTATGGTAGATTTGGTAATTGATGCTCCTAATCCAAACACGATATCACAACTCATCGTATCATGTTTTACAATTTAAAATTTGCCTATTATAAGGTATATAAAGATATTTCGCCTAACTATATAAAAATATTTTACATTTAAAAATTTTTTTAATATCTAGATATCATGTGTATATATTGCTGACCTATATCTCTAAATATACAGTATTGCAATTTTAATGGCAGCAATGTATATTTTATGTTATATAGTTTCAAGTTGTATATATATATACCAATTAAACCAAAGTCAAACATATTTTTCACATCAATACCAAATTTTTTAACTTCATTAGTCAATAGTGCTACAAAATAATAGGCAATTGCAGCTTTCTGCTAGATAAGCTTCCTAGATAATTTAATATTAGGAGAAAAAGTATTTTATATATACATATATTTGTAAAAACAGGTGAAATATTTTTAGAGAGCCTTATAATTTAGGTAAATTTCACACTGTATATGTGCACAAAATAAACTTTGAATATTATTATTGCAGAAAACTCCTTTTGCAGTCACGAACACTAATAGCGATGTAGGGGCGTTTTATCGCGAGTGTCAAAGTGCACCGCAATTGCAGGCCTTCATGGAAGAAAGAACGCTTGCAGAACAACTGGGAGATCTCACTAAACAATTGGAAACATTTGAGACCAATATGCAGCATTACGAGGACATTTTGACGTCATTATGTCAAACTGAAAATAATAATTAAGGCTGAACTCTGCTACTAGTTGGTTTAAAAACGCTAATTGTATACAAATCTATTGTATGCATATCTATTGTGTTAAAGTGGGTATATACATTAAGCGAATGAAAAACGCGAATGTTTGGACATTCATATTCATGTTTGTTTACTCGCTTTTTTGTTTTAAATTAGATTCGTTATTTGTTGCATAAAAAATATCGGATATAATAATCATTGTGTGAATTTTATTGTAATTCCTGATTTTGAAAAAAGAAGTAAATAGGAAATGTTGGATATTATTGATAACACAACGTAATAATACTATACGTATGTACGCGGTAATAAAATAATGTGTAAATTCGGAACACAGTGGCGAATAGCAAATATGTTATAGCACTATCCAAATTGTTTACAAATTTTTCTATGTATTATTTTACAAATGAATTAATTCTAAAAGATTGAACACTAGCAAATGTTCTATTCGTATTCGTCATAGCAAACACATCCTCCAGCTTTAAACACAAATTCGCATTCACTGTTTGCTTAGTGTATGTTCCATCTTTAGATATCGAAGCCTTTTTAATTGCCTTTGTCGTTTAAACGCGAGATAGTTAAAATTATTGAAAAATTTTTTTTTACATTGAATTTTATGATTTGAAAAAATTCTGTACATACATTAATATAATATGTATCAAAAAAATTTATAAAGTTTAGAAGTACATTAATCCTGCCTTCGATATCCTCTGAGTAAAACTCTGCTCATTCAAATTTTTTGCTATATATTATGTTGCAGAAAATATGTAATATAATTAATAAAGTACTAGTTGTGATAATTAATTACTTAATATAATTTATTGCTTGTATATAAAGTGTAAAATTATGCACTTGAATATTGTAAAATAAATATAAGTTGACTATGAAAAAATATATATTATTAATCCTACCACATACATAATAAAAATTAACTTATTTAAAATATATATATATATATATATATATGTATGTATATACGCGGTAATATATTTTTCAATTTTTACTCTAAATTGCAAATAGTACAGTTTGCTTCTAATTCAGATATTCTTTGAATAATCTTAATATTTTCACTTTTTATGCTTTTATGAGTTAATTCACATTATTAGGATATTATGAATAAAAATATACCAGTTTCAATCATATAAAGAGAATCTGATATACATATATGTCGATGTATCCTTTTCTCTCATTCCAATTTTATTCATCTCTCTTTCTCTTCCCCTCTCTCATTAATCCTCTCCTTTTTCTCGCTCATTTACTAGACTGTAAACCCTCTCACTTGCTTTCCACAGCTGATTGTGATTGTAGCGCTTTACGGCGCAAGATCCAAGTCACCATCTTGTCAAAGGAAAGATATAGTGATATAGTAACTGGTGACCGATAGTAGATTTTCATTCTTTTGAAGGTCATACGCGGTTTACTTAAATTACAAAAATGAAACCTAAGGCAGATCTATTGACTGAATCTGCGTGGAAGCAATTGCAACAATATTTTGACAGCAATGGTTCGAAAATTAATATATATAACATGTTTCAACAGGATTCTAAACGTTTCGAGAAATTTAGGTATGTCATTACATCTTAAATATGACCTTGAAACGACCTTTTAAAAAGTGCTGTGAAAAAATATCTTGTATAATATATATTTAGCAATATCTACTATACATAGAATTTTTTATTAAGTACTAAAAAAGTTTTAAAAATTTTCTAAATATAATTCAAAAAATATTCTGAAATATAAAAACATATTGCAAACTCTAAGGGTATTATTTTTTATTTTATAAATGTTACTTTTTATGCTTTTACAAAGTAAATTTAGGAAAATTTATATATATATATGTAATGAATAAATCATTACTATGCTTTTTGTTGAATCAGCTTGGAATTGTCTACACCGCAAGATGGACCTATTTTGTTAGATTATTCTAAAAACAGGATTAATGAAGAAGTACTTGGCTTATTATTCAATTTGGTATGAAATTTACTTACATAAAGTTACACTTTAATAATATTTTTAAATGTCATTTTAAAATCTCATTATATATTGCATCATTCTATAGGCTCGTGCACGAGAAGTAGAAGCTGCAAGAAATGCTATGTTTAATGGTGAAAAGATCAATTTCACAGAGAATAGAGCAGTTTTACACATTGCTTTGCGTAACAGAAACAATACACCAATATTAATAGATGGAAAGGATGTGATGCCTGATGTTAATGCAGTGTTAGAGCATATGAAAAATTTCACCAACGAGGTAAGATTTGTTTTATCTATAGATATATCTATATATATATATATATATATATATATATATATGTTTATTTGCAGATACTGACAAAAGAATGGAAAGGCTATACTGGTAAACCTATTGAAGATGTTGTTAATATTGGAATTGGTGGTTCTGATCTAGTAAGTTATATAAAAGTTGTTCTTGCAATATAATTTAAATAATTATATATTTGTATTTAAGATTTGATATTTATTTATATTTTAATAGGGTCCTCTTATGGTAACTGAAGCTTTAAAAGCCTATAGTATTGGACCGAGAGTTCACTTTGTTAGTAACATTGATGGTACTCATATAGTAGAAACTCTTAAAAAATTAAATCCAGAAACAACTTTATTTATAATAGCTTCAAAGACATTCACTACACAAGAAACTATAACTAATGCAACTACTGCCAAAGTGTGGCTTTTAAAAGCATTGAAAGATGTAAGTGCATAAAATAAGAAATTGAAATATTTATAATAATATGAAATATTAATAATATTTATATTATTATATATTCTATTTCATCACATCTAACATCTTCATATATATAAAATAGTTCATATTTTTATATACTTCAATTATTTAGGAAGCTGCAGTCGCCCGTCATTTTGTAGCATTGTCGACTAATGGACAAAAAGTTAAAGAATTTGGTATTGATGTAAAAAATATGTTTGGTTTTTGGGACTGGGTTGGCGGACGTTATTCATTATGGTCAGCTATTGGGTTATCAATTTGTTTGTCAATTGGTTTTGATAACTTTGAAAAACTTTTAAGTGGTGCTCATTTTATGGATCAACATTTTTGCACAGCACCATTGGAGAAAAATGTAAGTTATTATTACTGAATATAATAGAATAGAATACAAACTTTCAAGATTAATTGTTATAAACATAATAGTCTTAATAAATATATATCTGAAAGCTAACAGTAAAATTTTTCTCGATGATCTTAAAAATTAAAAATTATAATTATATAAATACATATGTCTACACATTTTTAATTAAAATTTTTAATTTTTAAAATTATCAGGAAAAATTTTACTAGCACAGATATATATATACATATTTATTAAGACTATTATGCCTGTTACAATTAATCTTCAAACTTTGTATTTTATTCTATATAAATAAAGAATTGTTTATTGAAATATATGTAAATATTAAATATTTAATTTAAAAAAAATTAATAAGATTGTAATGTCTTAAATTTTTAATGATTTATTTCAAACTTTTTTCAGGCACCTGTCATATTAGCCTTGCTTGGCATATGGTACCACAACTTTTATAAGGCAGAAACACATGCATTATTACCATATGATCAATATCTACACAGATTTGCAGCTTATTTCCAGCAAGGGGACATGGAAAGTAATGGGAAATATGTTACTCGTTCCGGAAAGACTGTAAATTATTCTACAGGTAGAGTATGTCTTATGATATATATAACGTAATGTAAATTGCACATTAATTTTAAAATCTTATTTTTAGGGCCAATTGTGTGGGGGGAACCAGGCACTAATGGCCAGCATGCATTCTATCAATTGTTGCACCAAGGTACAAAACTTGTGCCAGCAGATTTCATAATTCCTGTTCAAACTCAGAACCAGGTGAATAATTTTTATAGTAATATTAGACTTATCTGTTATCCAAATGGTAAATGTTTGAAATTATTTGATTTCAAAAATATTGATTTAAAAAAAAAATGTTTAAATGGTTTCTTTTCTCAGCTTATCTCAATATCACTATATTCTTTTCATTAAGACTTTTTATTTGTTGCAGATTGCTCCGCATCATACGATTTTACTTGCTAACTTCTTTGCACAAACCGAAGCTTTAATGAAAGGCAAAAATGAGAATGAGGCTCGAACAGAATTGCAAAAATCAGGATTAAGTGCCGAACAAGTAGACTCAATATTACCACATAAGATATTTGAAGGAAACAGACCAACAAATAGCATTGTGGTAAAGAAATTAACACCTTTTGTTCTTGGTGCTTTAATTGGTAAATATGCCATTGTTATCGATACATGAAAATGTTGGTAAAGCATAGTAATTGACGAAATATATTTAATAAAATATATTTCGACAAATATATTTAATAAAAGAAACAAGTGTCGATATACAGACAAATTTACATATACATATTTTTATATTCAAAATCACCATTCTCGAAAATTATACAAACAAAAACATTTATATATTTTAATCAGTTTAATTCAGAAACACTTTTCTTACTAATTACCATGCTTTACCGGCTACTATTCTGTATATTACAGTATAATTGTGTATTTATACAGATACTGTAATTTTTATTTTTGTTTTCTTTGTAGCCATGTACGAGCATAAAATTTTTGTACAAGGAATCATCTGGGACATTAATTCATATGACCAATGGGGGTAAGAAAAACATTTTTCATACGACTTAAATTTTTATCAATATATAGAATCGTTTTGCAATTAAAAAAAAAACATTTTTATACAGTGTGGAATTGGGGAAACAATTAGCTAAAGCGATTGAACCAGAGCTGACGAGCGCAGAAATTATCACAACGCACGATTCATCAACTAATGGCTTGATAGCATTTGCTAAACAGCATAAAGCCTAAATACCTATTTAGTGATGTTCTATTGTAAAATGTTTCAAATAAGTATAATCGAATAGCTCTATTCCAAGTTGCATCAGTTAATGTATATTAGAGTGTTTATGTAGTTGGTGAAAAAAATTGTAAAAATAAATAAAAATATATAATTTTAGTTACTTCTAGTTAAGATTTTTGATCCCTCATAGGTAATTTTTCAACGTCTCTCAAAAATGCATTTCAATTATTTTCATAAAGGTCTTTAATTGAAATGAACAATTAAATCCCTAAATATTTATCAGAACTTATGATCAAGTAACTTGTCACTCCCTTCTACTCGTGTAAGTATAAATGTCATACATTTATTGTACATGTTCATTCATTTATTTCTTAAGATTTTCTTACAGGGCATGATAAAAAATTATCACAATCCCCAACATGGAGAAACAAGAATTTTTAGCCTATCTCTTTCCCTACGACTTGTCGATTTGTCAAATCAAAAATTCACTAAACTATCCAAATCAAAACAGCTGGTCATATTATTATTTATAATTAAATTATTAATGATTAACTTGCGATTAAAATTCATAGTTTTATACATACAATCATGAAAAAATCATCAATAAATTTTTCAATTTGTCTTTCAATATAAAGACAGAATATATTTGGCTTATTAAAGTTTTTATATAATAATGCAACGATTAAATAAGAAGATAAATTGCGGACAAATGAATAAATCAATAATAATAATATGGGATTTGAAAATTACCGCGTTATTATCGTGTTTGATAATTAACTCAACAATTTGATCAAATAAAGTTCCCTTTGCACGATGATTATACATATATAATATAATTATAATATCTTAATCTATCGTCCGCAATTTATTTTGAGATAACAGTTCTACAATATACAGTCTATACAATCTACAGTCTACAATCTATAGTCTACAATTTACAGTCTATAATATACACTATGTTTCTACAATCAAATATGTACGAATCTATCTAATAATAAAATTAGCACTCACCAACCGATGCGCAGCAGCGGAGTTAATAACGAAACTACGTTGCTATCTGTAACATGCAAATAAAATTTAAATTGTAGAAGCGGTCACACAAAAATTAATATTTTAAAAATTATTATTATTATCTCTATTATTATATTACCTCTAATATTTCAGAAAATTATTATTATTATCTCTAATAAACAAAAATAAATACTCACCCTAGGGTTGCTCCGCTGGCGCCCGATGTAACTTCCAGAGTTCCTTCGTCTCCTATGGTTTAAAGCTCTCCAGTTCTCCTAAAGCTCTTCAGCAAGTTCATCTGTAACATATAAATTAAATCTAAATTGAGACAGCGTCAAAAAATAATTAATAGACAATACTGAAGGAGAGCTCCGTCCTCTTTAATTTTGTTGAAACTACAATATTGTTTATTTTATAATTTACAGATTTATGTTTTACGTATAAAAATACACAATATTATAAACGTGTTATATTGATTTTATCTTAAAATCCAATCAATACTTAAACGTATATTTTTTAACACTTTATCAATAAATAATAAAATATTTCGACTCACATTTCGATTATTTTCTTCTCCAATCTCGACGTACTCCAGGTTCCTTGCCGTAACTATTTTTTCTCCTAGAAGCTTTGAAACACTTGCACTCGCGTTACTTTTTTTCGTTTGCGACGCGCGGCGACGCCCGGGTTTTAATATCACATTTTCGACGTATTAAAACGCGAGAATCGCGAGAGCTTATTCCCGCGCGAAAACTGATGCTCCGTTTTGGCGTCGCCGTTTTTTTTCAAGAGCCATTGATCGAAGGACCTTCTCGAACAACGATGCAGCGACTTCCTTCGCGACGCACTGAGGAGTTGCCGATATTCCTAAATTAGCTCTACATTTAAATATGTATTGTTTCACTGAAATGACGACGAAGAAATCGCGGAAATCGCGCAGAATATTTATGATTAGCGAAAAATATCATTAAAAAATATATCACAAAGAATCAATAATAAATTTACTGATTTGTGCTTTTAAATTTAAAGAGAGATTATTCGGTACACTAAATTTCTTATTTACTATAGAGTAATTTAATAATTGAATAAAAAGATAAATCATTAATAAATAAATAAATTATCAACAATGAATTTAATGGAAAATAATCGCGCAATTGCTGTGTTCGATAACCAATTCGCAATGATTTGATCAAATAAAGTTTCCTTTGTACGATGATTAATCACAATCATCTGTTATCCGCTCTTCATGAGATAATCTACAATCTACAATCAACACTCTACATTCTACAATCTACAATCTGCACTCTATGTCTCTATACAATCAAATATCTATGAAACCGTTATCTCACAATATAAAATATCCAGCACTAACCAACCGATGCGCAGCAGCGGAGTTTACTACGAAGCTACGTTGTTCTGTAACATACAAATAAAATTTAAATTGTAAAAGAGGTCACACAGTAATTATATTTTTGAAAATTATTATTATTATTACTTCTACAATAAAAAATTATTAAATTAATAAATATTTATTTCCATATTACCTAATATATCATTTATTTGAAACAAATAAATATTTATCTGTTTTGAAAAGAATTTTCTTATATCAAATAAATATTTTTCGCACGAAATCAATATTATTAGTTTCAAATAAATGATTTATTAATATTGAAATAAATATTTTAGCGAATTTCATACATTATTTCAGTGTAATAAATAAAAATAAATATTCACCTCAGGGTTGCTCCGCTGGTGCCTGATGTTCTTCCCAAACTTCCTTCCTTCTTCTCCTCCTAAAGTTGTTAAAATCATCAGCAATAGTGATCTGTAAAATAAAATTTAAATTAAGGTAGTGTCTAAAATAATACTACGAAAGGAGAGCTCTGTCCTCTTCGATTTTACCGAAATTTTAAAATATTACGTGTATTTTTTTGCGTAAAACACGAATATCTAAATTAAAATTGTCGCTCTCAAGTAGACAAAAAATTACAATAGTCTCTCTGCACCCCCCTTCAGGAGCCGAATTTTAATTTACAGATTTGTGTTTTACGCAGAAATATACATAATATTGTAACATGCTATATTAAATTTATCTTAACACAAAATTCGATCAGTACTTTAGGCGTATATTTTTCTATCGCTTTAGCAATAAATAATGAAATATATTTCGACTCACATTTCGATTATTTTTCTTCTACGGTTTAAGCGTACTCCAGATTCTTCGGCTATTTTTCCTCCTTGTAGAAGCTTCGATGGAAACACTGCACTCGCGCGTTTTTTTTTTTTCGTTCGCGATACTGGATTTTATTTATCACATTTTCGACGATTTTGATAAAACACGAGAATCGAGTAAAATTATTCGCACGCGATTAAGACTGCGTCTGGAAACATATCCGAGTACATTCTCTCTCTGTTTTTATGTAACTTCTCTCTCAGTGATATAGAATGAGAGGGAATATGCACTCGAGTGACGCTTCCGAATGCAGCTTAAAGCTGATGTTCCGTTATCGCCGCTTTAATCAAGGCCACTTCTCGAAGGGCCTTATCGAACTTCAATGCAGCGACTTCCCCTGCGACACGTTCGGAAATCGCCGATATTTCAGAATTGTTCACCGGTCTTCACTATTTTATGTGTCTGAATAATTCGACAACGATTTTGCGAGAAAGGAGTACGGAGCAACGTACGATAGTTGAGAATTTGTGGATTATAACAAGGCGACGCGACAATTGTAACCGACGCCTGCGATACTTTTGCGAAAATTTCGAGTCAATTCGTCGCGAACGATACTTCCGCACGATGATGCCAAAGCACGACCGGAAACGCGCCCGTTTAGAATATCCTCGACAACGCCTTAAAACTCAGAAAATTATCGTGTCGAAAGCGCCCGGTAAGTCTCGCGATTTTCCCAAGGAAACTTGCGCACGCAAAGTAATGGCGTTTCGAGCGGAGCTGAAGTCCCGAGTGAAGTCGCTCACTGTCGGAGGAATGAAGCCGAGTGAGCTTCCCGATTCCCGGCCGACTCAATCGATCTCGCGCGCGCGATCGCGATCGCGATGTTGGTAGACGCGACAGAATCGGATTTATACGATAATTAACACGAATCGAAAACCCTAATTCATATTCGCAGTCGTACTTACTCAGCCGGGCTAGCAATCAGCAACGAACTCGAATCTTAACCGTTGATCACGAACGATGAGAAAGTGTGTAGATGGCAGCAGCATTCTAAGATTGTCTTCGGAAGTGAAGTCAGCTATGGTCTAGTCTCGGTCGCCGATTGGTCGGTTGACTTCGGCCGACCAATCAGCGATCGAGAATCGTTTCGCTCTGATGGGTCAAGAGGGCGCTGCACCTTAGACTTTAGCTGAATACATTTCCGAACACAATCTAGAATGCTGCTGCCATCTGGTTCATTTTCTCATCACTCTCGACTAACGTTTTACGCGCTCTTTGTCGGTCCGCAAGTGTGAGTATTAATTGTCTTTACACCGTTAATTATCGTATAAATCCGATCGCGTCGCGTGTCCCCACATCGTGATCGCGATCGTACGCGCGAAATTGACTTCGTCGGCCAGGAATCTCACTCAACATTCGTTGTGTGACTTTCACGTCTCCGACTCGAGTCGCTGAAAGTTGGTGAAAAGTACGAACGCGTGTAATATAGTACTAATTAGCGTCTTTACGTCGTATTAATTATCGTCGTCATTATCATCGTAATATAAATCTGATCGCGTGGCGTGAATCGACATCGTGATCGCGATTACCCGGGCGAGATTGATTTCGTCGGCTGGGAACGGAAAGATCTCTCAACGTTCGCTCCACGCGACCGTAGTATCGCGACCTTGCTTGGCGTGACGTCACAGATCCTGCTCGAGGCGCCGAAAATTCGCGCTCGCGAATTATCGCGCGCCTTTCGACGCGAATATTTCCGAATTTTTCAACTTTGTCGAGCGAGTATTTGCGTGTTTTCAGTTGTACTTTAGCATCATTGTGTCGAAATATTGTTATGAGACGAATTAGATTGTAATTGTCACAAAAATTGCAGGTCGACTACGAGAACAAAATGCATGGAAAATGTGCTGGTTAAAATCTGGACGTCGTCGCAAACGAAAAAATTACACGAGTGCACAAATGTTCCTGGCTGAAAGGTTGGTTTCTTCCAAGAAAAATGATGTCAGTGAAAAATCCGAGGTACGCCGAGAAAGATCGGAAAAGAAGAATAATCGAAATGTGAGTCGAAATATATATCTCATTATTTATTGATAAAACGATAGAAAAATATATGCCTAAAGTATTGATCGAATTTCAAGATAAATTCAATATAGCACATTACAATATTATGTATTTTTTTGTAAAACATGAATCTGTAAATTCAAATCCGGCTTCTGAAGGGGGGGGGGGAGAGGGACTATTGTAATTTTTTGTCTACTTGAGGGGAGAGACTTTGTAACTTTTTCTCTATACTTGAGAGCGACAATTTTAATTTACATATTCGTGTTTTACACACAAAAATACACACAATATTTTAAAATTTCGGCAAAATCAAAGAGGACAGAGCTCTCCTTTAGTATTACTTATATTAATATTTATTATAGACACTATGCCTTAATTTAAATTTTATTTTACAGATCACCGTTGCTGAGGATCTTTACAACTTAGGAGGAGGAGGAAAGAAATCTGGGAGGAACATATATATACATCAGGCACCGGCGGAGCAACCCTGGGGTAAATATTTATTTTTATTTATTACAATGAAATAATGTATTAAATTCAAATAAATATTTATTTCAATATTAATAAATTATTTATTTGAAACTAATAAAATATTGATTTTGTGTAAAAACATGTATGATATAAGAAAAATTTTTTTCAAAACAGATAAATACTTATATTTTCAAATAAATGATATATTAGGCAGTATGGAAATAAATATTTATTAATTTAATAATTTTTATTGTAGAAGTAATAATAATAATAATTTTCAAAAATATAATTACTGTGTGACTCTTTTACAATTTAAATTTTATTTGTATGTTACAGAACAACGTAGCTTCGTAGTAAACTCCGCTGCTGCGCATCGGTTGGTTAGTGCTGGATATTTTATATTGTGAGATAACGGTTTCATAGATATTTGATTGTATAGAGACATAGAGTGCAGATTGTAGATTGTAGAATGTAGAGTGTTGATTGTAGATTGTAGATTATCTCATGAAGAGCGGATAACAGATGATTGTGATTAATCATCGTACAAAGGGAACTTTATTTGATCAAATCATTGCGAATTAGTTATCGAACACAGCAATTGCCGATTATTTTCCATTAAATTCATTGTTGATAATTAATTTATTTATTAATGATTTATATTGAATTACTCTATAGTAAATAAGACATTTAGTGTACCGAATAATCTCTCTTTAAATTTAAAGACAGAAATTAGTAAATTTATTAATGATTTTTCGTGATAAATTTTTTAATGATTCTTCGCTAATATAGTAAATTCTGCGCGATTTCCGCGATTTCTTCGTCATTTCAGCAAAACATATATTCTAGTGGCCAATTTAGGAATATCAGCGACCCCTGAGTGCGTCGCGGGGTGAGTCGCCGCATCGTCGTTCGATAAAGTCTTCCGATAAGTGAACCTTGAAGAAAAACGGCGATGCCAAAACGGAGCATCGGTTTTCGCGCGCGAATATGCTCTCGCGATTCTCGCGTTTTACCAAAATACATACGTCGAAAATGTGATATTAAAACCGGGTCGTCGCCGCGCGTTGTGAACGAAAAAAGTAACGCGAGTGCAAGTGTTTCGAAACTTCTACGAGGAGAAAAAATAGTTGCGACGAGGAATTCGGAGTACACCGAGACTGGAGAAGAAAAATAATCGAAATGTGAGTCAAAATATTTCATTATTTATATTGATAAAGTGAAAAAAATATGCGCCTAAGTATTGATCGGATTTTAAGATAAATTCAATATAGCACGTTTACAATATTATGTATTTTTGTACGTATAAAACACGAATCTGTAATTATAAAATACACAACATTGTAGTTTCGACAAAATTAAAGAGGACGGAGCTTTCCTTCAGTATTACCTATTAATTATTTTTTGACGCTGTCTTAATTTGGATTTAATTTATATGTTACAGATATACTTGCTCTGAAGAGCTTTAGGAGAATTGGAAAGCTGTAAATCTTAAAAGGCGAAGGAAATCTGGGAGGGACATCGGGCGCCAGCGGAGCAACCCTGGGGTGAGTATTTATTTTTGTTTATTAGAGATAATAATAATTTTTTAAAATATTAGAGGTAATAATAATAATTTTTAAAATATTAATTTTTGTGTGATCGCTTCTACAATTTAAATTTTATTTGCATGTTACAGATAGCAACGTAGTTTTGTTATTAACTCCGCTGCTGCGCATCGGTTGGTGAGTGCTAATTTTATTATTAGATAGATTTGTACATATTTGATTGTAGAAACATAGTGTATATTATAGACTGTAAATTATAGACTATAGATTGTAGACTGTAGATTGTAATAGACTGTATGTTGTAGAACCGTTATCTCAAAATAAATTGCGGACGACAGATTAAGATATTATAATTATAATATATATGTATAATCATCGTGCAAAGGAAACTTTATTTGATCAAATTGTTGAGTTAATTATCAAACACGATAATAACGCGGTAATTTTCAAATCCCATATTATTATTATTGATTTATTCATTTGTCCGCAATTTATCTTCTTATTTAATCGTTGCATTATTATATAAAAAAACTTTAATGTGCCAAATATATTCTGTCTTTATATTGAAAGACAAATTGAAAATTTATTGATGATTTTTCATGACTGTATGTATAAAACTATGAATTTTAATCGCAAGTTAATCATTAATAATTTAATTATAAATAATAATATGATCAGCTGTTCTGATTTGGATTTAGTGAATTTTGATTTGACAATCGACAAGTGTTAGGGAAAGAGATAGGCTAAGAAAGATATTTTTGCTTCTTCATATTGAGGATTGTGATAAAATTTTTATCATACCCCATAAAAAATCTTAAGAAATAAATGAATACATATGAACAATATGTCTATGACACACACACTATATATTAGAAGAGGAGGTTACATACAAGTTACTTAATTATTCGTTTGATAAATATTTAGATGTTAATTAATCATTCCAATTAGCATCTTAAGAAGAATGACTAAATCTTATATTATATATTAAAATTGAAAGATAAAAATATCTTCTTTTATTTCTGCTCAATGAAAGTTATTTAATTTATTATTATTACATTTTCTACTTTTTATTATTTTATATTATATTTTTTGTATATATTACATTATATTTATTGTATGTATATAATATATAAAAATTTAAAAATAATAAAAGTAGAAAATATAATGATTAATTAAATAATTTTTTATCGAGCAGATATAAGAAAATATTTTTTATCCTTCAATTTTAAATATAATATTAAATTAACAATTTTCTTAAAGTTTTTAATTGGAATAATTAATTAACCATCTAATTATTTGTCAGTTATTATATAATTATATTTAACTTATAATTAAGAGTAACTATATAGAGATACGTACATTTTATATATTTATATATTTATATATTTATATACATATTTATATATAGTTATTCTTAATTATAACAATAAGTTACTTACTTATAAGTATTGATAAACATTTAGATAGTTAATTAATCATTCCAAATAAAAACTTAAGAAGAATTACTACAGTAATATTATATGTAAAATTGAAAGATAAACAATTTTTCTTTATATCTGCTGAAAATTATTTAATTTAATTTATTATATCATTATATTTTCGACAACAAATGAGAAATTCTATGATATCATTTCTGCAAAATTCTTATTACTATTCTTTTTGTTTTTATTTTTCTTAAATGCAGAAAACATATCTTTTATAGAGCGCATATTATTTTAATACAATTTTATTACTTTCTCAATATTTTACTAGATTTTTTATTCATAATGAAATATCTGCTAATATAATATAATATGCATAATATTTGCTGATATATAATGAATAATATTAACGAATATTTCATCGTGAAATAAGCAAGATATCTAGTAAAATATTTAAGAGGGTATAACAAAATTGTATTAATAACATATA